AAAACATCGGCAAACACTGGGCGTGAAATTACATCTCATTAATCAAATTGATTTTTACTCCAATTAAATTCACTTAATGAAATTAGATTTTAATTTAATTAAATCAATCTGCTTGATTAGTCGGAAAGAAATTAAATGAAAAGCGTAATCAGACGAAATGAAGTTTTTTTTAGAAATCGTACGCACGTAAGGGAGTGCCTCGTTAATTACACGCGCGCGAGAGATAAGCATCTGAGCGTTTGCGCGCGTAATTGCATGAAGTTCAAATTTGCCAGGAGCAAAAATGTCATTGCTATTATCTTAGATCGCCTGTCTGGCGTTTACAAGGGAGATAAATGCGCAACGCGAATGATTCGTGCGTTTTGCTTACAGATGACTCCGGATTAATAATCGTCTCTCGTTCTCTAAACGATTTATAATGATAGTGAATTATTCCCTTGCAAGGCATATTCTTTTCAATTGCTTCGTATTTCGCATCCTTATGTACCGTCAGCTTTGTGCAATATATGCCATTACGCGCCGCATTGTTTTCTTTCGGCAGAATTTGCATAAATCCCGTATGCCCGCCAATATTGATTTTAGAGTCGGGCCAAGGTTTTCGGCACTTTTAAATTTCGATGCTTTATTTTCTCCCGGGACCTATAAGAATCTTACGTCACTTTTCTGCAACTCTTTCGGAGCAGATTCGGAGCTGGCGACGTTTTCCGAAATTTCACACGCGATGATCTTGTTTAGAAATGTCAACGTGTAAAAATGGCGCAGTTGAAAAACATGTAGGTATTTGTATTTGCTTCGCAAATTGGCATTCTTCAAATGCGGTGCTGCGATACACGTTTAAAGTAATGAAGTCAATTTTATATTACAGAGAATGTTTATACGAAAAGAAAATTTATACCTTTAGCATGACATAATATGAAATAAAAACTAATATCGAGAGAGTACGAGCGAGCGTGGCATATTCAGAATTGGATTTATCTAAGGCAAAATCACTCCTGCAGTAAGAGCGGCATATTTCTTGGCAAACATTAGAGTCATCTTGCTGGGGGCCTTTTCGGACCCCGAGAGGAGCCGCTCCCTCGTGCGCGCTGCGTCGTTACGTAATCAAGCCCACGGGCGAAAGATCATTGTCCTACGTCTTGCAGCTCGTGTGTGCGTCACGCAGCCCAATTATATCTCTACATGCAGGCCCGCACTAGTAAGGATAAGGAAAGATTGATGGGTCCTAGAGATCGACAAGTCTGATACTCGCCAATTGCATCTCTAAATTATTTTGTCGTTAATGCATTACGACACGTGAGATAAAAAAGATTCCGTGACCGAATAAAGTTGTAATGTTACAGCACATTCAAATGATTACATGCTAATGATTTGCATAATGATTTTATAACTTAATTATATAATGTAAAAATCAGTTATGAAGTATATATTGATTGTTAACTCAAAAATAATGTCGATAAATATGGATAATAAGAGAAGGCAAACTTTTCTCGATTTCTGTTGTTAATTAATTATTATCAATCTGTCATTTTTAATCGAAATTGTTTTTATTGTGCAATGAAATTAATTTATCGTGACATATTATAGTATGTCTGATGTATCGGAGTTATTAATTGTAAGATTAGGATCTCTTGAAGGATTTTGCCGATCCGATCCTGCGCTTTCGCGCTGCAGGAGCCCGTCGACAACGTGTACAAATTTGTAACGGAACGACGGGCTCCAGACACCTTACGGTAATTACTGACAATACGTCGGCGAGGGACCATTATTTAATGTTCGCGTACAGTTGTATTTAACGCTTGAACGAGTCTACGGACGATGACGGTTCGTCTCGAAAAGGAGAAAAGACGCGCGTAATTTGCATCATAAGCTGCGTCTCGTTAAATGCTGGATCCCGATCCTTCTCGTTTAATTAGCGTGAAATACTTTCTCAACGTCTCAATCTTATCTCTTTCCTATTATTCATTATTTATTAATGTTTTATATTTCACGACGCGGTTTTGATTCGATTTACAAGCCGAGAAAGTAGCAGTCGAATTTGTTTTGACGTTTTGACGTTTTGACGTTTATTAAAAAACGTTAAGTCGTTTAAATTAAATTTAATTACCCGATATTTGAATTATTGATGATTAATTGATGTTGAAACTGAAAACGAGGTCGGTGGCTGCCGATGAATCAGATCTTTTCTTATTTTTCTTATTTGTCACATAGAATTTCGAAAAGCCGCGGTTTTACCGCAATTTTACTGCCGAAACGAGAGAGGAAGCCGACAACCTTCGGCTCTGCCATCTGCCGATGACAACAAAGATGCGCCACAAAGGACTGAAAAATGATACAAGGCGATCAGCTTTGCCTATCGTATTCAGATTTTATTCTAAGGCGAATCGCCCCACGCGCGATCCTCCTCCTTGCACCTGGTCGCCGCTAATTTGAGGCGAAGTTTGAGCAACGCGTATCACACGTGCACGCTCGTTCGCGCGAAAAAGGAGCGTGCATGTGCAGCGAGCATGCATCTTCAGGTGCGGATTTATCCCTTCCGCGAAAAGTTTTGTCGATGATAAAAAAAGAAGCGACTCCACGATCACTGTTCTGCATTGTTTTCATTTACACTTTGTTGTATCTATTTCACATTTATTTATACGCGCTGCAATCGCAGCTTTCTTTTTCATTACTTTATCATATCTTATATTTTTGAGCATTTATTCGCTAAAATTGCCAATGTAACACTTTGATAATGGCTGCTTGTCTTGTATTCGATCTTATTATTTCTTGTGTATTGTACAATAATCCTAGACATTGTTTCTCTCGAATCCGATCCTGCGTGCTTTGCACGCGTATGCACGGCGTATGACCGCGGGCTGTGGGTCGCAAGGCCCCGGGGGCGCGAAACCGCGGGATAATTCGAGATCGTACGATCTACGCCGAACGGAACGGATGTTGAAAATTAATTTCATATTCTGCTCCTAAATTTAAAAGCGCCAAAAAAAAAAACCGGATGCTCACGTAAGACGTGACGTAAAAAGTAACAAGGAGACTTAGAACACAATTGCCACATTTCACGCCTGATTTTATCGACGATAAAAACTTGCAAATCACATGCGTACGAATCGTGTATGCGCCGTCCGGACCATATTTAGCTAAAAATGGATCCTCAGCTTGAAAATTTCACGATCGACCCGAGATAGGCGTACGAGGCGAGCCTCGAAAACGAGGCCCCGCCGAAATACGCGCGAATTTACGCGCGAAATGCGCGGTTCGTTTATTACTTTTCTCAGAACAACGTTGCGAACGCGAAGGCAAGGCCGATGAGTCGCGGAAACTGGCATAACTTTCCCCTTTAGAACGCGCTTTAAACGGCGCACTTTATATATTCCACGAGGCTCCAGACAGACGTGTGTCGCGCGAACACGTGTCAATTAAAGCCGCGCACGGCCCGAGGATTTTTTATTTCATCTGGCAACCCGCAAGGCCACAGCCCTCCCAGGAGTCATATAAAAGAATCTGTCTCTCCCGATTGTCAAGCCTGCTGATTTAAATTGCGAATCGATTCTTATGGGCGCGCGCGCACGACCAAAATCTTTCATTGAAAAACTTCTCATTAAAATGATTCTTGTTAAATGTACGGCGGACAGTGCAGAGATACATTCGCCCGCGCATATAAATCAACGATTGTCGAGTTTTCGGAACAGCGAGGATGAATTTCGAGATGGCGTTTGTTCGGAATTTAGGATTCGATATCGTGCGAATCGGCGGAAACGGCGAATCACGGATCGGTGAGCGTGAATTGACGGGGACCGAGAAAGATAAAGGGACAAAAGAAAAGAGAGAGAACACTTGCGTAATCCTGGTCGACGCATATGTGTGCCGATCGCCCGCGGCGAGCCGAGACCTTGCCGGCGTGCATGAGAACTGGGCCGCGCACGTCGTATCCCGGGCCCAAGTTGGACCTAGATGAGTCTGAGACGACGCCGCGGAGTCTGCCAAGTTCTCGCGTGCCATATTAATCCGGATGATACTAAGATTCCAAATGCGTCGGATTTTGCGAATACCGAATGCCTCTTACAGTGTGCTTGTGCAACAACCGCATAAGAACGACGTGATTATTAATGCAAAATGTTTGTGCCAGTAACGAGTGGAAATTTATGAGCAATTTGTAAAGTGAATTTTCAAGTGAGCTTACCAGCAATTTGCAAAATGCGCAGGTAAATTAGATCGATTTGCATTTGTCTATCGCGGTCACCATCTGTTGTCGATTAGCGACAACATGCGATGCTATTACGAATCGAACATCGACTGTTCTAGATGCGCCGCATTTGCATCAACTTAAACAGCCGCAACAAAAAGCACATATTCGAAGTTTGCGAATGCGCTTGCAAAGATCGCGGTGCTAATTGAGAATTATTCGCTCAGAGAAATCAAATGTTTTGCATTCATTTAAGTGAAATGAAATAAATCCACGTGATTTAATAAGCATTTTGAGAAATTTTTCGACAAGAAAAAAAATAATGTCGCAGTTAATAAACAAACTACTTTATAGCTACGAGAAGGCTGCTTCAAGATCGCTTCGAATCGTCCAATGCGATCTCTGCGTAATTACATGCCGAGTACGTATGGGGAATTTACAAGCAGGCGTTACAAGCTGCGAGATTGTCAAAACGTTTGCGGCGACGTTGATCGTTGGGAAATCATTCGAGATAAATCTGAGAAACGGATTTCGTCTGTCCACGGTGGGCGTGGGACCGATTGCGAAACGAGCTTTAGAAATATTCTCACGCGACGCGCGTTATTGACCACAAGCTCGCCGATCAAGAAACACACTGTTCATAATTGTTTCTAATTGCGAATCGACGGCAAAATAATGTTTTGCACTATTAATTGTTATAATAATAATACAAAAATAGTATGCTAAGAAATGCACTTAATGTTATTTTGAATTTATATTTAATTCCATTTATGTAGAACTATTTACTTATTAATATTAATAATTATTCTTTGAATTTCAGGCTTTAGGTCCGATTTCTGGTTGTCACGTGAACCCGGCTGTGTCGTTCGGTCTGATGGTCAGCGGAAATTGCACTTTTCTCAAAACCGTCAGTTATGTGGTTTGTCAGTGTTGCGGCGCTATTGCGGGATCCGCCGTTCTCAAGGTATGTAAAATCAAAGAGTTCGTTATACCTGTTTTTCCAGATTCAAGAATTAATTTAGATTTATATTCGTCGATGCAATAGATTTTCCCAAGAAATACCCTTCAATTAAAAAGACAGGGAAGCAAGTTTGACAAACGACTCGATTTAAAGTTTGATCCTATTTTCTATTATTCTAGAATCAATTATAATTATTCATAATTTAATTACTGAGCGGTTAGCCGCATTGCGCAAATGATAAAATGCATTAGGAGAGATCGATGCGTGCCACACATTCGACATTTTCATTGAAGTGCGCTCACTTTTCTCTCACACGCAATAATCATCGACGATCGTTCGGGCGAAGCGTGAAATTGATCGTTGATAGCCTGTCATTCCGATTTGGCGCGGGGCACACCGAAAGTGCCCCGGTCTCGCTCGTATCAATTAAATCGCCGTTGCGCAAGGTCAAGGTCCTCGACACCGTCTTCGATCACACGTTACATCAGCGACTGGTCGCGGCTGACCGGCTGGATCACGTGCGTGCGAGCGTGCTCGGCGCGTGCGCATCCATCGAGACTCTAATTAATTTCGGCGAATAAATTATTCATTTTCCAGTATATTATTTTCGCGATAGTTAACAATGCAATTCATCGGGGAGGAAGAAGTAGTATTTTACAAAATTCGCTGCGATAATGCGAAATGCGTCTCTTCCGCGTGCTTAAATTTAACGAAATAGCGCGCTTAGTGCGAACAACTTGAATCTCATTGCGAAGTTCTTCCCACAAAATCGAGTCTTCTAACCGAATCATCGTTTCGCCCAGATGATGATACCCAAGACGCAGATTGAGAACGGTCTGGGCGCCACTATGCTGGGCCCCGGCGTGTCGGTGGCCCAGGGTGTCGTGATGGAGGCGATTGTCACGTTTCTCCTGGTGCTGGTGGTGCACGCGGTCACAGACCCCAAGAGAACCGACACGAAGGGCTGGGCGCCGCTGGCGATCGGCCTGACGATCGCGGTGGCTCACATGGCGGCGGTGCCCATCACCGGCAGCAGCATGAACCCGGCCAGGACTCTGGGCCCGGCCGTGGTGGAGGATAATTATCAGGACATGTGGGTCTACTGGGTGGGTCCGCTCATCGGCGGCTGCGTAGCCGGCGGTGTGTACAGAATGGCGCTGAGGGCCAACAAGGAAGATGACGAGGGTTCGTACGATTTCTGAGGGACCCGGTCGGGATAACGGGTCCCCTTGGACGTGAGATGGATCCGGATAATGATTTCAGAATGAAACCGGAAGTCTCGCGGGTGTAAATAAGAGAATAGATTTGTGAGTGAGGATGATGATTTTACGATCGCGAGATGGTCTCGCGATCTTTGTCCGTCGTATTTAACAAAATAATATATTTCTGAGTAACACAATTTTTTGTTCTTTAAGTTTTGGATCTTTTGACAGTATTCGATTGAGACAAGGAGCATAAATACACGTTATTGTATAATATCAATGAGCAGCGTACCGAAAAATTACAATATATTAATAATATTATCAAATGATATATTGTTACGAAACAAGACGTACGTGTGTATGATATTATTATACAATAGCAATGTATGACATCAGATTATCTTAGAGATTTCTTTTTACCTTTAAAAAATTTGAGGTTGAAAATATTGTCCCCAAACGTGCGAACAAAAAAAAAGAGATTATTTAACTTATTACAATCAGTTTCATTATGATATCGTTATCAATCGACATTCTTCTTTCGTGTGAATTCTAAATCTGTACATTGCCAACACCTGATTTTTGTAAATACTGTACTTAAGCTAGCGAGAGATCGAACGTATTATCTATCATTCTAGTATAGCGTAGCATAGTTTGGCGTTTAAATAGTTTATAGCGCACGTCGCGTGCAATGATATGAATAAAAATATTAACCAATATATTTCTCCATCGCCATATTCACTATCTGGTCGTACTAATTTTTATTTTTGCAATTCTTGTTCTCTCCTTTTCTCTTACTTATAATTATAATTTATATTAATTTTCAGAAGATATAACATATTATTATTTAAGATTTTACGATATAGAGATAGTGCCTGAAAATGATAAAAATTAGAAATGATAAAAGATTTGTAATTGTAGGTGATTGAGTAATTCTAATCCGGACATATACAAGTGAACTTGTCACCCGGAAGATAATTATATATTCCCGTTTGCTAGAGCATATTCTCACGGTAAAACCGACGACCTCAAAATAGCGCACACCGAAATAGTCGTGTGCATAGTTCTTGCACTCCTAAAGCCAGACACATCACCAGAAGCCAGTACCTTCAAGTTGCCGGCCCACGACGTACATTTGGAATATGTTCTGGAATTAGTGACCTAATTTATTTGTTGAAAAGAATGTTGATCGTCCGAATTTCGTTTTAAGATTACCAGAAACGAGTAATTGCTAATATCGCTAAATAATTACACTGATAATTATTGAATGTGTGTTTCAGAATTAACAACTCTCGTTAATTCCGTCAAGAATGGTTCGGCATATTTAATATATACTCTTTTTTTAATTTATTCTATAAAATATAAAAGAAAATATAAAAATATAAAAGATTAAGCAAATAAATATTATAATAATACTACTATTGTGCAAAGTTACCATTAATTTATAACAGTTGTGAAGCATTTAAAGTACGAGCCATGTCGGGGAATGAATTGGAACCGGAAATCGGCGGGTTTTTCCGCTCGAATTTGTTGGCGGTACGAAAAGCGATTCACCAGCAGGAGTTCAGAAAATTTGCCGCCCTCGAGTCGAACGCCGAGAGGGTGGCTTTCGTTCTGAGCTATCCAGAGGCGCATCAGCTATCTTTAAAGGTGGAAGAGCCGATGGTCAAGAATAGCGATAACGCTATCCGTCTGAAAGACGTCGGGAATAAATATTTTAGTCGTGGAGAATTTGCTAAAGCTTTAGAGACGTATTCGAATGCAGCTCTTCTAGCATCGCCAGCAGGTAAATCTACGTGATTGATTGTAATGCGTATATTTCATCTGATTATGTTTGTAATTAATCTAATACGTTCACGATTAACGTAATGGCAATTTGTTCAATTGTTCCGTTTAATTATTGATAATTACACCGCTGGGAATTGTGCAGATTAATCTCAAACGCATATATTTAGAATTAAGCGTCATCGTGGCGAATCGCTCGGCCACGCTCTACCACTTGGAGCATCACGAGCACGCGTTGGAGGATATCGAGGAAGCCTCGCGTCTCGGTTATCCGAAGGACCTGTTCTACAAACTCGAGGAGCGACGGGCCAGATGTTTATTGGGCCTGAAGAGACACGATGAGGCGGTGGAAGCATTTAGACGAGCTCTCCAGGCTCTGGACGACGCCAAGATACCGTTGGAACGCAAGCAGAAGTTCGAGGCGGACATCAGGATGATGCTCGCGGTGATGGACAAAGGCAAACGGCTGAACGAAGCCACCTCGAAGAATCTTCCACGAATGAACGTGAAAAAGTCCAATAAGCACTTTGAGGAAAATCATAGCAGATTTATTTCCGAGAAAAAGAGAAACCCTCTGTATCCTTCTTGTAGCAGAGCGGTGGAAATTAAAGACGAGGGCGGTGACATAGGTAGACACGCCGTGGCGACTAGAGAGATAGCGCCCGGGGAGATCATAATCGTGGAACGACCGCATTGCGCCGTTCTATTGGCGGAGAACAGGTGAGTTAATTGAATAAAACACATACGACACTATATATATATTTATTTTTAAAACCTTTCAGTGAAAGTCTCACTCAAAAAAATGATCTGGCAATAATAGCTAAAATTTTCTAGGTGTAAAAAATTAACTAAAACAGATAAATGATTAGCAACTGTTGTGATATTGCATATGTAATTACTTAATCAGTTTAGATGACAGAAACAGAATATATATCTGTATTGTTTGTGAACTTTAAAAAGAAAGTTTCTCTAAAGCGCCTATCTATATAAGATCAATCACGTGTTAGATCATGCAATGAATAACATTTAGCAATGGTACCTAAATTTTTCAGAAGTTATTGCTAGAACATTACTGCTATAAATTCTATATGTGACAAACAATGTTTTCACAGATACGAAAAATAGCGATACATTCTTGTTGCGATATCTAGAAATCTAACTACATCAGCGAAATATTTTTTTGAGTGCTCTTTATATTATTTTAGCGGCGGCGCTAGAAATATTTCAATTTCACACTTTTTGTATTTTTTTTTCAAAATATTCAATAAGTTACTTATACAAAAAATAAAACGCATAACAATTCGATGTCCAGGCTCACGCACTGTCACTTGTGCTTCGCAAGAATATTCGTGCCAACACCGGCGGCTTGTCACGCCTGCAGCTGCGTCGCATACTGCAGTCGCCGCTGCAGAGACGCGGATGCTCAGGTGCATCTGCGGGAATGCAAACTACTGCCGGCTCTGTGGCACTCGAGGGCTTCTGTGACATGCTTCCTAGCTTTAAGGGCGATCATGCAGAAACCTTTCGAGGAAACGATGAAGTTTAGGGACCGACTCAAGAATTCTGAGAATGTATCGAAGTTCTCCGCGAAGAATCCGTATCTAGGAGATGATTACATAAACTTTTATAATTTAGGTGACAAATTAAAAAAATTAAAAACATAATAATTATAACATTTTATAACGTTCTATCATATTTCTATTTTAACTAAAATAATTAATCATATGTGGAAAATTAAGATAAATTATTTCCTAATGAAATAATTATCCAAATCTTCTATTTTTTATTATGCTATATAATTTTTTTCTATTGACATTTTTTTTAGTCACCCACGAAGACAAGAGGTTGCCCGAGGATCTTTTTCACAGAGCTTACATGGCAGCCTGGTTGTTCAGATTGCTGAAAACCGGCGAATATTTTCCGGAAAACGTGAAAACTACCGATTCGGCGGAGAGCAGATTGTCCGACGAGGAATTGTTTATCTCAGAGCTACTCTTGCACAATTTGCAATTACTGCAATTCAATTCGCACGAGGTAATATAACACAATGCGATATTGTATTTCTCAATTATAGTATTATAAAAGTTTATTTTGATTTATAATAAAGCGAATTAATTCTAAAGCAAGTGGATTGTATTATTATAAAATTGCAAAGCGTATTTCTATAAATAAAGAAATATAAGATTTAATTTTATTTGCGCTTTCACACACAATTTCTGACTATATCGTTTTTTTTTTCTAGATTTCTGAGTTGATCAAACCGAAAGGAGAAACGACGCTCGCCAAAGCCAAGAGTGTTTTCATAGGCGGTGGAGTTTATCCTACAGTTGCGATGTTGAATCACTCGTGCAATCCTGGTGTAGTAAGGTAAATAGTCTAGATAATAGCATTCTGTTTCATTACAATTTAGATATTCATTAACTTCGTTATTATTGACTATTAATTTAAATGTTGATTTTTAATCAAAAGAACAATATACATTTTATAAATGCAAAGTATATTAATCGCTAGATACTTCGTCGGTACTACCATGATCGTTCGCGCCGTTCGTACAATTAGTGCGGGTGAAGAAATTTCGGAAAATTACGGTCCAATCTTCACAACCATGCCCGAAAATGATCGCAAGAGAAGATTGAGAGTGCAATACTGGTTTAATTGCAATTGCGAGGCATGCTCGGAGCATTGGCCGCTTCTGGAAGAACTAGATCCAACGATACTCAGGTATTTATCAGGCATTAATCAAATGTGATGAATTGAAACTTATTTGCATAAATGCTTTTTGGTTGCAAATTAATAGTTTTAGAATCGATTGACACGTTTAAATACAAGATTGAACAAAAATATCTTATTATGTATTATTAAATTAATCGACTAAATTATTTATTTTATCATTATTTTGTTTTTCAAGATTTAAATGCGAAACTGGACCTTCCTGCGGTAATGTATTGCTGATTAGAAGTATTACAAATGAATTCATGATCGGGTGCGCGAAATGTGGCAACAGCACAAACATTCTTAAAGGTTTGAAGGCTCTGCAGGACACAGACGCACTCTTCAAGGTCGCATGTACGAATCTCGAGGAAGGCCGAAATCAGCAGGCGCTGAAAGCTTATCTGGAGATCTTGAAACTGCTGGATGAGACTCTGGCATTGCCTACTAGAGATTATCACATCTGCCAGCAAGGAGTTAAACTGTGCATCCTCGCTTTAGGCAACGCAGCTTACGTTTAATTATTATTATTTATAACATGTAAGTTTTATAATTCTTTATTTGCAAAATTAAAAATTCTTATTCTAATTTTTCAGTGTAAAACGATTGGGGATTTCTATATTTAAATTAAATTTTCTTCATCGAGATATTTATCAAAATATCAATCAAATGAGGAAGAATATTGAAAATTGATATTAAATATACACTAACATATTTATCTTTATCAAATATTGGAGAAAAAAATGTTAATTTTTCCTATCTTTATAATATTTCTATATGGCATTTTTTATATTAATTACGAATATTTTTTATGAAATATGCATTATGCACATAAAACTTTGTTATTTAACATAATGCAATCATTTTTCGGGTATTTAGTGTGAGGAAGCATGTAAAATGTATGATTGAATATCGTTTATTGGTACTTCTGATCATATATGTATTATCGAAGTTAGTAAAGAAGACAGTTACGCGATTTTCTCATTGATGCTCGCAATATACATAAAAATTTGTATTTGATATGAATACATTAACTAATTTAATATTATTTATGTCTTAAATCCAAAATAAAAAATTATACAATGAAAAAAAAAAAAAAAAAAAAAAAAACTAAATTTAGTCTTTTTCTCTGACTGAATAGCTTAATCGTTAATGTTAATAATTATATGTATTAATTAATTATTGTTAGTAAGCATGTGCCTTATAGTAATAGTCAAAATCATAATGAACATTTGCGTGATAAATTTAATATTATAAGAAACATCTTATCGAGAGTAATTACTAGAATACATAGTTATTAATAGATGCACACTGTGTGCTGTGTATTACGATATACAACATAATTTGAGTGTTTTTATGTGTACGTGGATTCATAATTAAATTGACGAGGATAATGTTGTAACATTAAATTCGTGTAATCCATAAAATCGTCAAAATGTTTGTTACTTTACCTTTTTTCTATTTATTATTATAATAATTTATAGTTCCGAAGATTAGAAGTAGGTGTGTGGGTGCTTTAACAATCAATGTATGTACATATAAAACTGTTTTTCGCTCTTTCTGTCTTCCAAACTTTCTTGTAATACGTAATACCGTCCTCTTTCCGATTTCTTTGTTTTTCTGCAATGTTCTCACTTAACTGCAATTAAATAAAGAATAATAAATTTTCAATAGAATATTTTTCAATTTTCTCTTTTTTAATTGCGAGAGAGGACGTTGCTTTCTTCGGAATAGCATTGTAGTTTGACTACAGTTTTGATTCAGTTTTGATTCAGTTTTGACTCAATTTGCGTGAATGCAAAATTTTTGCTGTCACATAATAACTTGCAATACTTTTTGCAACACATAGTAACTTGCAACACATAATAACTTGCAATACTTTTTGCTTTTTGTCCATCTGATCACATCAAATTCGACACAAAAACTCGCACATTCGTTTGAGCATTGTACTCTCTCTTTATTAATTATTCTTTTATTACACTATACTATACCTAAGATATCTATTCTTTAATTGCACTGAATTCAGAAAATTTTTGTTACTTAGGGTTAATATACCAATATATTAACCCTAGTTAAGGCGATGTGCTGGAGTGGTCTGTTTTACCAATTTTTTTTAAACAGACTATACTTTTTTTTGGCTATGTAGAATGAAAAATCCTTTTCTGTAATTAAAGTATATATGCTTATACAGACGTCCGCCCTGCATAAGCATAAATACTTTAATTACAGAAAAGGATTTTTCATTCTACATAGCCAAAAAAAAGTATAGTCTGTTTAAAAAAAATTGGTAAAACAGACCACTCCAGCATCACCTTGACAGATTATTGTATAATAATACCAGTCGGTATAAATTAATACCGTCTGTCACGGGAATCCGATCGTGAGCGGCGATCTCGGCTGCGGCTCCGGGTTAACGATCTCCTTCGGGGGCTGCGAGACCTTGACCTAAAAGAGTAAAGACGGTTTAGTATCATTTTCACTTTGGCACGGGAATGGCAAGGGAAATTATTAGTGCGCACATCTCGGCTGCGTCACGAGCCATGTGAATTTGCCGTGTCAAAAAAAAAAATATATTACTTACTTACACACAATGTTATTTCAGAATAGTGATACATCATTTATCTTGAATTATCCAATTAATGACGTTATTTAAAAAATATTAATATAAAATAATACTAGTTATTATAATAAACAAGCGATCATTCAACACATATGCATTATCAATTATTAAATATTAATTTAATTCTTACTTTGTGCGGTTAATTACTCGGTCTTCAAAGAATATTTTGTTTCATTACTATCGCAACGAACTTTTAAATTAAATGCAATTTGCTGAAATAATATTGATTCTGAATTTGTAATTGTCACTTTTATGGATTGGTTAATATTATCTACGTAATTTATTTTTATTTTGCAGTGATCGCTTTCTTGTTGCGGCAAAAAAGAAAAGATTGATGATTGGAATTCGTTACAGTTAATTTGTACCAATTTTGTTCGAGACGGAGCAGAGTGGCGCGATAAAACACGTACGAAAAATCATTATCGAGGTAACTGCAAGAGAATTAGGATTATTGATAAACTTCTATTTTGCCTAAAGGGTGATGTATAAAAACTACGTAGTTAGATACGATTAATAATGAATTAATATACAAAATGACGGCTCACCAATCGAATGCGAAATCAATCAAAGAAAGTAGAGGATTAACTTTAATAGTTAAATCATTTAAATTTTTTATGAATAAATGTTACATATATCTTTCGATATATATATTTATATTTATATTACGTATATCTCGGTCGGGAATTTTCTGATTCAATCAGTTCTCGTGAATTTATTTTTCTAACAATCTCCAATTAAATCGAAATCTCTATTTGATGAAAATCAATTGAGAATAATTCTTAACTTCGCGTTTAACTCTTCATTGAATCAGATAGCATTCCTGCCCGAAGTAACAAATTGAAAACAAAAAAAAACAAAAAAAACAAAAAATATGTAAAAAAATGTAAAAAAAATAATAGAAAAAGATAAAGATAAAAAATCTTTGAAAATCTGTGAAATACCAGACAACTGTGAACATGTAGTGGTTGGTGGTGGTAGTTGGTTGGTGGGTGGTAGTGGGATGGTGTGTAGTAGGTGGTGATCAGTTCGCTTTTTTTTGCTCGAGTCGAAGAGTGAGAAGATTTCTCGGCGGCAACTCTCACACGCGCTCAGTTGTCGTGGCTAAACACACGTCTCTAAGTGATGGTCGACGAGTAGGTAGGCAGTAGAGTAGTAGTAGTAGTAGTGGTAGTAGGTAGTAGTAGTAGTAGTAGTAGTAGTAGTACTAGTAGGTAGTAGCAGTAGCTGTACTAGTCGGTCTCAAAACGACGAACTACCGAGAAGACAGTCGTTCGCAGTCGAATGGAGACGCGCTGGACAGAATTACTGTGTGGACAGAATGTGACTTTTTTTTTTATCGCGATTGGTTCGTTCAAGATGGTGGCCGGCCGGTTGTGGGTGGCGGTTTTCTCACGGTGGCGAATTTTTTTTGGCGATTAACTCAGCGTGCCGCTATCCCCCTAAAGCTGAGACGAAGAGTCGAAGAAGGTGGATCACAACAACACCCGGTGGTTGGTTGACTGGTCGGTTGGTGGTTGGTGATGGTGGTGGAAGAATAGTAGTAATAGTGGTGATCGAAGGGGATAGTCTCGTAGTAGAGCGACTGACGGTTTTTTTTTTGTTTCGGTTTCAAGACGGTTTTGCGGTGCAACGACGGCGGACGGGGGACAGCAACGAAAGAAGGCTACGTTTTTTTTTCTTTTTTCGAAGGTGGCTTTCTGGCGGTACTCCGGCAGCGGCGACGGCGCACGCAAACTGTTGTTTCGGTTGTTGCGCCGTTGTGTGCTAATGTGTGCGTCGCAACACCCACAACGCACAAACACATCGACGGGCGACGTGACGTGATGTGACGTGACGGACGTACGGACGGCTTCCTACATACTCGGTGACTTGGTGGTGACTGATGGTGACTTGGTTGGTTGGGAAGTTAGTGGGCAGGCAGGCATATTTTTTTTTATATTGGTCTCGTTTGTTTTGCGATCGACGACGATTGCGAGATTGACGATTTGCTTTTTTCGCGTATATAATACGCTTGTTCACGGTGGTTGAAGTAGTAGTAGTGGCGGGAAGACGAGCAGAGCTAGGAGTTGATGCACGTTGAATCTGCAAACGTTAGTTTTAGCAATATAATAATCAACGTTATCATATTCCTGGCCACTATATCGCGTAGTTTTTTTTCTTTTTTTTTTCATTAGTTTTTTGAAACTTTTAACATTGCGGGAAAAAATTTCGCGAATAGAACTAGATAACAATTGTACACGCGCTCGCTTCGCCGTTGTAACCGATCGATTTCTACATTCTTTTATCCTAGACTGCCCACTCAAATGCATACAAAAAAAAAAAGAGAGAAGAGAGATCTTCTCTTTTGTGCCTCGTGCTGATAGACTCGGAGTTATATGTGATGATATGTATATTGCTCCGGTAGATCATATTCTCATCGCGACGCACTAAGCATGTCAATTTTTTATAAACTTGAATTTAGCAAACAGCAATGCTGGCCATCGACTAGCATTATAATTACTTGCATAAAATCGAAATACATTCCCTCACTGATACTTTTTATATATTGCTCTTATTTTCCAAGGTATGGAAACATTTTCGAAATTAAATAATGAAGTTTATAACTTTGATCATAATTTGATACTTTATTCACGCTGTCGTGCGTATGCGATAAGAAGTGACAAAAGTACAAGAGAAGAGAAGAAAAGAAGTGTTCGCCCTATTCACCTATTTTTTTTAAATATTTCTCAATATCAGATTTCTATCTAAGATTAAACCATTACTATTCAAGAATAAAAATAGAATCGATAAAGAAGCTACTTTCATATTATCTTCTTACTTTCTTATATTAATTAGAAACAAATCATTATTTTTATAGGAACTAATAAATAATACATGAGAAACGATGAGAAATTGCTCATATAACTTGATTTAACCATTGAATTGCAAAGTGTTAGCCTCCGTTATCGCTATTATTACTAAATTAACTTTCATAATCTCACCAACAAAAAAAAATGCAATCTCATAAAGCCGTGTACTAAATTTTATATCTCCTATCATTCGACTTCGAACTTCGAAAGATCCTTTACTGTGATTTAAAGAACAAAATCGCTAAAGACAAATTTACACACAAAATTTTAGATTGCAAATCTGCTTTCACGAAACTATCGTGCGTTTAATCTAACAGTGTCTCTGGGATCAATCCTGTATTATTATCACATTATGTCTAATTCCTCCTCGTCTTTGCCTAACATCGCATAGTTCGTTCAGTCCTGTCCTCCCTCCAACTCAATTGCAAATTGAACGCTTTTCTTTTACCGTCGCTCGAATGCCCACGATTCGCCACAATCTACTCTCTCTAAACTATCCGATTACGAGATCACTTAGAGAACGAATAAACGATGAAATTGATTATATTTTCATAAAATTCTTATTAAATGAGTTACAACATATAAATCTTTACTTTCTCGAGAAAAACAATGTCGTAGATTAGTTTATTTTTATCATCGTTCTCCAAGACGTCTCTAAATGCCTCTAATGAGTAGTGATTATAGTGACCATATTTCATATCGTGATCTATAGATAATGCATGCAATATGTATTTACGTCGGTGAATGTAAGCTCGCTCGGAAAATATGCATACTTACTAGTTGCCATTTCCTTTTGCCATAGTTGTAGATTGTAGGTTCTGAAAAACCTTCGCAAAGCGAGACACGAAAGATAATTTAAAAACATAACAAAGAGTATTAATTACCTAGAGCAGTGGCTAATCGATGATCTCCGCGAGCTTCTCGAACAGGATCTATAAAAAGAAATTAAAAAGAATATACGTCTGCCGAGTGTCTTGCCAACGCTCGTATTGAGAGATTTTCATTTGTCTTAGTAGCACCTGAAAATTGCGATTAACGGCGAGAAAGAAGCTAGACGGATTTTTTGTCAAAGAGAAGGGAGCCGGAAGACTAAGAGGGGTGGGAAAATCTTACCTCGGGTAACGACCCAAAGATTTCCTGCGAGGACTGCGCGACCTGGACCTATAAATTTGTCAAAAAAAGAAAAAAAAAAGGTAATCTTATAAACCCAATTGCTAACTGAAGCGTATGCCCGAAACATTACAATGGGAAAGATAGTGTGAAAGAAAGAAATAGATGAGCGCTAAGTGATAATCGGTGGAGATCATTTCCATGCTAAGGTAGAAAGGAATCTTTCAAAAGACCAACATATTTGCAAAAATGCTACATCGATCGATGCCGATCAATTCTAAAATAACGAATATAAAAAAAGATCTGAAATGAGATTAGAAAAAATATTTGTTGACACTTGGTATTCGTAGGCAATAAGGAATATATTTTTATTTCCTTATTGCCTATCACCTTAGCACGAAGTTTTGACGGTTCAATATGACGCATGATTCGACATGCAAAAAGTGGATTTAGCTGCGCTCTGGCTAATCCCCGAAATTAACCATACACCATATTCATGCAGACTTAATCTCTGACTATCTAAACACTTTGTGGCATCGTGCTGCACAATTCGACATCTCGAACTCGCGACTGTGAACGAGGAGGATTAGCCAGACACACTACAATAAAAAGACACGATATATAAATATATATAAACTAAATATATATGACGGCGATCCTACAAAGAGATATACAAGAGAAAATATTGAATCTCGCGGTACTGTGCACGACCGTGTTCAGTGAAATAAAGGAACAGACCCGTGCATTATTCGTCTGTCTGATAAGAGCACATCTTGTTCTCGAGGCAAGAGAAAGACTTTTTTCCATCATAAATACCTACGTTGGCGAAGGACGCTTAGTGGTCTGTCGCTGTTCTAATATTTTTTTCACTGTAAAATTCGCGATTTTTATGAAGTATTTTAAGTTTTCTTACCTGGAATATCTAGGACCTGGCCTCCGACCACCACCACCTCGTCGGCTTCTCCCTGAAGACATTTCTACTCTCATTCTGGTCCCACAACAGCGTCTGAAAGATTTTATTACTTTAAATCATTAACTGTTCTTATTTTCAAGACAGAGAGTCAAAGAGATAATTGCACAATCTTATGGGGAGATAATGAAAATATATAGATATCTAATAATCAATAATTATTCTAGTGCTTCTAATTTATTATTGGCTAATTATTGGTTTACTATTATAAAAACTACTGGTTCTTACGTTCCGTCTAATCCTCTGACTGCATCTTCAGCATCTCTTGGATCTTCAAACTCCACAAACGCAAAACCTGGTGGGTTTCTAGCTACCCACACATTTCTTAAAGGACCGTACTTACTAAACGCACTCTCAATTTCATGCTTGCTGGCACTACTGCCCAGATTTCCCACATAAACCTTGCAGGACAATTCCCATTCACGATAACGTGACATATTGTACCTGCGCAAAGAAATCAAAACATAATATACATAGAAATACATTTATAAAAAACTTCCTTCAATAGAAATTACAATATACAGAATGATGAAAGTTTCCAATTGCTTTCGTAACCTATTAAATGTAATTTCTTTAATTTCTTTAATTTCTTTAATCTCAATAATCCAAATCTTTTACTCTATTTTGAGTATACACACGTGTTTATAGACTCGATAATTATTCTAAAAATTTAGAAAAAAAAAATTTGATTCATTAACTGTTTGCTCTACTAACTGAAAAAACTATACAACACCCCAATTTATTGATTTATTTTCAAGATTGAAAACTATGTTGTAACGTTGAATTTGGTGTCACTTCGTTACAAACACATTTTTTGCCATCCCGTTATCTCTCACACAGAAATTCGTAACTCATACGCACATTGCTCAACATTTTTTCTGAATTAGAATATTTAATTGTTTTTATGTTACTGCTTTCCCGCCATTTTGAACAAGGCAAAACGATACCGAGTCTCAATAACTTCGACGCCATGGCTACTTCGACGAAATTTTACGTATTTTTTTTTATTCTTATTAATATTCTTTGAGCACATTGAACGGATAAATGCCTAAGTTTGCATAGCAGTTTGTTGATTGAACGATCCATATTTACCTTAGAGTGTTGATTAAAGCTTTGACCAAGCTACCAAATGTGCTTCGCGCTACACTTCGGCACTGCTGTTGCAACGGAGTTGACGATAGTGGACGATGAAAAGGAAGTGGATATATGGTTATCGAGCGTGAAACACGTAGAGTCCTCTATCCACTTATTTTGAACATATTTTGGTACTTCAGAGTCAAGCGTGAGTTTAATATAAATAAAATTTAAATCAATGATTTTATTTAAAATGTTAATAATTCACATTATTCAATGATTAATTTTTAAATAATTATTGATCAGATTTCAATACGTTAATTGTGGCGAGATTCTTGTGGCGAGAACAAGAGAATTTTGAGGTTATGTGCGTAGTATCAGAATTACGTACTTAATAATATCAATACAAGCAATTTTATTATAATTTATGCACATGTAGCTTAATTAACATTTATGAGCAAATAAACTATTCGAAAATAAAGTTCAGTGGTTGACGGCTTTAAATAATGTTGGAAAATCGATAATTAGATGCAGACCTGTGGATTCACGTTGTACTAGAGTACAAGTTGTGCCAGACCGCCGGGATTTCCGGTAAAGTCCCGGACTTTGTCGGTTGATCCCGTGTCCAGTTGAAGTTTTTTGTCCCGAAAATGTATAATTTTAACGAAATCCCAGGATTTACCTCAAATTTTTAGGCCATTTCTCACGATCGCAACTGTCGACACTTACATTAAAGACATAAATAATCAGAAAAAAACTTTCAAGAAAACTATACATCCTAATTTTCGACTCGCCTTTCTGTCTTAAAAAAAAAACACGAACACCTAGCAACGACTCTTTTTGCCTTTTTCTCCCAAGATTATTTGTTAATTTATTGGAGCCTTAGTATTATTATTAATTTTGTTTAAAAAAAACAATGTACAAGCGTTAATGTTAAAATAAATGATTGAGATAAGATAGTCTTTATAGATATAGCTATTATTTTTAAGTTCTCTATACTAATTTTACATTTTATAAAAGATAGAAATAAATTCTTCATGCCAAATTAAGAAATCTGAGAGAAAGCTCAATGAATAAGTACAGAGCATCTTTTATAAATCGTGATGAGTCAAGTTAAAACGTAAAATGGAAAAATTTTACCCGTTAGATTATAATAAATACTAAAACTATGATTGTTAAAAAAGTATTTAAAAAATTTCCTCTTTTAATTACTTTTTATTCTCCTAATTATTTTAATTGCGACATTTATTTTCAATTTGACCATCCAATATTCAACTTTACAATTTATTCAAAATGCTCCATATTTTTTTCCGATAAAAATCTCATAATTAATGTACTAATCTCTTGTAATCTATCTTCTCCAATTGCACCAAAGGTCGTAGTTGTTCCGCAAATACTCTCATGTCTTCTGCTATGGCATCTTGTCCACTTGGAGCTAGCACACTTAGCTCTACCAGATAACTCGGTGTTATATAATCCGGTACAGATTCTGGCACTTTGTTCATTTGATTTACTTTGATAATCTTTGAAACAATAATCTTCATTCGACCTTTGCGAAATATGTAACCACGAGTAATATATTCATAATCCAATTTACAGCCCAGTTCAGTGAGGAAATCCACCACAGTGTTGCTAGTAGCAATATCGATGCTGCTTCGTACAATTGTGGGCCGAGATTTATCGCCTAATTCGGGCTGGCCAATATATCGTAGTTGCCATGGCATATCGGCAAAGTTCGGTTCCATAGAGCGACGTACACGTAGCAATAGAGGTTGCTCCTGCGGGGAACCTCTGAAAAATCAAACAAGTTCTAATATTCAGTATTATGAAAATTAATCTTTTATAATTATGATAATAGCAACCATTTTCAGATCAAAATATCTCTCAAATAAAAATAGAGAGAAAAATACAGGGACTGTACCTGCGAATACTGAAACACATCTCATGATCACTAAAGGTCTCTGGTCCACTATCCACATTGTCACATAAGCCACGAAGCCTATGTAGCAATACCTCTACGGATTTGTCCACTACAGATCCCTGCAGCAAGTACTCCTGATTTGGTATAATGTTGGACTTTTGAGCAGCACACAAATTATCCATAGCAGTATTAATTGGAGCAGTCATGTTGGTTTATAAGAAGCAACAGACTTGGAGCTATAGTAAAACTGGAGAAAATAAAATAAAGCTGTTATAGAATAGATAGATGGAAATTATTAATTGTCGATACTTCTTATATATAATTTACATGAATATACATATATGTACTAAATATCAATCAAAAAATATATATATAACCTACATTTCTCCCAATGAGTTCTTTTTCTTTTCGCAGGCTACCGCTCCTTTAAAACTAAAGTTACACGTTTTTCAATTTGTTTTATTAACTGATAATTACACACTCATTACACAGATAAAAATAATAATATCTAATGTTTATAATACTCTTGAATGCTCCGTGATGACGTTAGACTGAGGGGAACAGCTTCAGTGCCACATATCCAGAAAATAGCGAACTAAAAATGTCACGTGATGAGAAGTGAAGAGTTTCAATTTATACATTCGCAAATACTGAGTTATTTAATCAAATATTGTAGCAAATTTTTACCCTTGGAATTTTTTATACCAAAGAAAGAAATTATATCATATTTATTTTAAAATGCCATTTTATGAATGAAGAATTACTTTTTTTTTATTATGAGAAATGCACGTTATATATTAATTTCTAAGCACAAGTACAACTTTAAAATTTAAATTAATATATTTTACCGACGCTTACTTCATTGCATTTCGAAGAACTCTCCGAAACAGAAGTGAAATCATAATAAATTCAAGTTATATAAGGTAAAATAACAGAGATATATAAACGTAAAAATACAATAACATAAAATAAACATAAAAAATTTGAAACCATTACTAAATACGTGGTGGATAAATTTTATCTTTACGAGAAAGTCGATACTTAGTTCATAAAATTAGCATAACCAATAATTATCACAGGTGCACTAATTTTCTTATGTATTTCAGATCACTTAAATCGTCAAAGACTAATATTTTTGTTTGGTTTTCGGACAATCCAGCAGTCTCTATTCTTTGCATGCTTCCCAATATGTCTGGATGTGAAATCTATTAAATGGTCGCTCAAATTGTGATGAACAGGAAGAGATGTGTTCTTACGACAAGTACTACATCGCATCTCATAATCATCACTTTCTTTGAAAGACTTCCAGAGGAAGGAAAGCTATGGTCAATTAGTCGTTGAGGAGAATGTTGAAAGTAAGTGATTATCTAAGAATTCAAACTTTGACGGCAAAATTATATCCACGGATCATCTTTCCGTTTCTTCTGTTTTTTATGCGAGTAACTTTTTTGGTATATAGATTTCATATGCAAAGGCAAATCATTGATGTTGATTCACTATATATTTTTTTCACAAAATTTGCATTTTGCTTGAAAATCTGGTAGCTTTTTATAATATTGCAAAAACCGATTACTTGTAATAGATTTACGTGATAGCATAGACATTATGTTCGTTTCAAGTAACTTCAAAAACGCGTATAATACAATACAGTACAAGAATCTGCCGAAAAGTGTTTGGTAAAAAAGAACGAAGGAAGACGTAGTTTTTCATTCGAATGTAAATATTGGAACATTGCAGAGGGATTCTCTAAATAATTTTGAAGTATATATAATATTTTCGGATGACGTATATTTTCCGTGAAATTTTAAATTACATACACTACAATATCTAATGTTCTTAAAGTAAATTTACTCTGGCAATTTGCATGTTTCTGTATGCTAACCAGAAGGAAAAATAATTCTTTAGTATATATACAAAAAGTAATAAATTCGCAGTCTTTTTAACTACAATACTATTCCTAATAATTGCACATAATGTAAAAGCTCACAGAGCTTCGAATATAAACGTAATAAAAAAATACAAGACATTTCGTCCATTCATTTTTCAATAAATGTCGAATTTTTTTGGCACAGTCCTCATTAAAATAAAGTTTAATGACGACGAATTGATCAAACGATAAGAATTGACAGTCTTTTCTGGTAGAAATCTAGCACTATGTCAGAAGCGAGAGGTTTCTCGAAACTAACTACTCCGCCAGTTTCGTCAGCACCTAATAATGGCAATTATTATCGCATTCGTCGCTAGTGAATTAAATTTCGGATTATATATATATATATTCGATATATTCGCCGCTGCTATAAAATATCACCTAGGTATACATTCTATAGTCACAGACTATGACGAAATATCGCAATTATATCGCAATATCCAGCTAAACTGATTATGGAAAATTCGACAGTCTCTTGTATTTCGCCAAACATGTCCATCCTTTTTAGCTGCATTTTTTTACACTCATTTACAATTCCTGTAAATAGAATTTCAAATTGCTATATGTAGAATTTTAAATTGCTATATATAGAATTTTTAATTCCTTTTCTCATTTTTTAGTCGTTATTTTTAAAACGTCTAAAGCGTACGAAAATACGGCTAAAAAGAGCGAACTTATTACAATCAACACGTAATTTCGTAATTATTATTGATTGCCTATTACCTTGAAAATTTGTTCCTAGCTAGGATATACGCTGTTAATGCGCTCGTAAAAAAGCAAATAAGGGCTAGAGAGAAGAACCTGCGTCAGAGACACGCTTTCAACTATGATATCGGACGTGTACAACCATTGATCCGCTTTTTTCCGCGTCTGAAGCAAACAAAGTGACCGGAATCCACTGGGCCACGATGCTCGATCACCGCGCACAGCCGATATTTGTGTTTACCCTGTATCATCATTAGACCGCTGTCGAGAGATCTTGCGTCACTCTGCGAATAATGTTCAATGTAATTCAAAGGTCAGTGAAATTTTTATTCAATAAGTTTGTCGAGTATAATTTATAAATTACCTGCGCGTTTCTCTTCTTCGTTTCTGTATAGGTGTAAGGATCTAACACTAGAATTTCGGGAAATGTAATTTGATCTTCCCTCTTAATTGGCACGCCTGACGAGCTCCACGTGGTCCTTGGGATGTGCAAGCACAAGCACTTGGGTAGTTTACCGAGGGTAAGAGTTTTAACGGCAGCGCAACGCGATGAGCACCCATCGCATTGCACGTCGTACACCGTTTCACTGGCTACAAAACGCGACAGCAGCCACTCTAGCGTGTAATGCTGTGATACAAATGAGTTGAGCGGTGGCAATGGCAACGATAGAGTCTCTAGTTTGTCGTAGCGTACTGAAGACTGTAAAAAAAATGTTATATCAGAATTTGAAATTACTAGAACTATTAGCTATTTCAGGAAAGCATTGCGGAAAGGAAATTGGTTCCGAGAGAAATCAGTAATGGCAAAAAAACAAAAGTTATTTCGTATCGATACCTTCCAAAGGCAACCATCGCACTGGACTTGACTGGTAATCAGACCCGAAAACGGATGCGTTTCCACCGATGCCGGCATATTGATAAACGACATGGTGCACAGAGATTTCCATGATCTGAAAAGATCCTTGCAATCGCCGTTATTGTGAACACTTCGTGACAACAGCTCCGAGGATCTAGCGAGAATCATACCAGGCCTGCATGAACTCGGAGACATAGTGGATATGGACGAGGTCGAAGTCATTATTTGATTATTGCAATTCTTATCGAAGCCCTTTGGAGCGTCAGAATGATTATTCGCTGAGGCGATATCGTTGCAGGATGCGCTTCTGAGGCTTAATGCATCGCCAGCGGCTCTCATGTCCGGTTCAATTGTTGGGCTGGGCAGCAATGCATCGGACAAACAACCTTTCTAAAAATCGTAGATAACAATTTTTCAGAAATTAGCTATTGTTATTAATTTTTTAATGATTAATTATGGAAAATTTGAGAACAATTTTTCTTTTTTCTTTTTACTTTTCTTTGTGACGTTAATTAATTATTAGAAATTATAGAAATCTCTATGTTGCACACATCAATATCGTACATATGTTGAAATAATTCTCTAATATCACAAACCTTTACAGGCTGCATTTCAGCATCCAGTGCACTGAGAACCACATGAAATAGTTCATGAGCGTCTTGATGACCAGGCCCAAAATTCCATAATGAACCAATAGAAGAAATGATTTCGAGGGGTGTCACATTCCCATATAAATCGTCCGTAAAACCATTAATCTCTATCATAATATATACATCATCAGTATAATGCACAAAGAATATAAAAGTATAGCAAAAATAAGGATCTCGAAATTATCACATATTAAAAAATAGCAAAATTTAGGTGAATAAATTTTAAAGTAATATTTAGTGCTTAGAGACTGAATATTATAATATAATAGTGATAAACATAGTAATATTTAATACTTAAAGACTGAATGTTATAATTTTAAATACAGAAGAAAATATTGAAGATATAATGTCAAGTAAAAATCATACTCTTGGCAACAGAAAGCAATGTATCAGCAAAGCTTCTGCCTTTCTTCTCCTGCTGTCTTTGAAGCCAGAGAATAAATGTAGGACAAGCAGCCAGTGCTTGCAAAAGGGAATTTAGAAAACACGTATATCCTAAATTGTTGATCCCAACAATTTGACCTAAAAAAAATCAAACAAGTAAGACTTTACAATCAAAATTTTGTCTCCATTAAATATATAATATATATTCAACATTAAGTAATTACTATAAATATATAAATAATCGTGAGTAGCTAAAATAAAAGGATAAAGTATTAATTAAAAAATACTAAAGGAAAAGAAATAAATTTAAGATGAAATCTATCAAAGAATTTTCATCCTTTGCTGCATTTATAACTGCATTGCAATAGCAAGATATTATTGATAAGGCAGCTATATTATTTGTTATTATTTTTATCATAATTTTATAATATTAAAAAAACAATTAATTTTTTAATTAGGAATAATTTTGTCAATAGATTCTACTTTCTTTGCACCTAATTTGACTTGAAGACTTAAACATTATTACCTTTTTTTCTAGGTTTGGGCGATGGTCCCCATAAAACAAAGAGGCCAACGACGATAGCAAAGCCCACACCGGCAAACATTGCAATCTTCTCTACATCCATCGCGTATTAAATCAACTTGTGTTTTCTGTTGGATTGTACAACGACATTTAACCTATGTTCCGGCTCGTGCCATTCCTTTCCGAACTTCGTTCAAGCATAATTTCGAAAATGACAAAGGCCCGAGTGAAGCCGTCGATGATAAAACGTCGATGGAGTTTAACTTTGACAAGAGAAGTTTTTTTTTCACGGGCCGCAATGTCGAGTGCACAAGCGAACGAAAACGCAAGCGATCAGAAGGTTATACTAATCGATGAACATAAGGATAAATTGTGCAAAACGATAAGTAGAGGACGAATTTAATCAACACCAATTTGAAAAATACTGTGCTTCTTTTTTGCGGGAATATTGTACGACAGATAAGCACGGAGATGCGTAACTGCAACGAGATCTGATAGAAAACCGCACTTTCCTTACAAAAATGTATAATCCACTGCCACTGGTATCTGCAATCTGCAATGCTTTCAAGAATCTTGCACCCGTGCGCTAACGACCTCTTGGCAAGCATTACGAGAAACGGTGAGTCAAAATATTCAAATGGTAACATACAAAATGTAATTTTGTAAAAAAAGGAGTATTATATATTATTTTTCGCCAATAATTTTAAAATTATTGACAAATTGTATATTAAAGCTTTCTTACATACTACCATGCATTTTATCATAATATTATTAAATTTTATGTTGCTTAAAAAATTATTTCATTACAAATTTAAAATTTTATTTTATCAGAGTAAAATATTGTTTATTTTATTTATTTAATTTATGATTCTGATAACTCACATACAGTATTTTCCAATAAGCAAATTGTAAAATTTGATTTTAAAGTAAATAATTATGTTATATATCGATGATGAAACGTTACGTAATTGATTTAACATAGCAAATATTTTCTATGAACGCGTTCTTTAAAAAAAGAAAAGAGAACACCTTTTGATATTCTATATAGCTATTAATTTATCGAATAATTACATCTTGCTATGCACATCTTACATTCTACAACATTATAATTATTACAATCGTATTTGTTTTGTTTGTGTGTTGCAAAAAATTTAAAAATTGCATGCTTTAAATAATAATTTAATAATTTAAACAATTTTTAAGTTGATTAAACTATCAAATATTACTAAAGCAGAAAAAGGGAAGAAATATTCAATAAACAACTATATTATAGCGTTTTATCAAATCGCAGCAATGATATTTTTATTGATATTAAACCTACAATTAATATTCAATCTTTATACACATGTTATAAACATGGTGAAAAATGTCACACATTGATATGTAAACTGGCAAGCGCATCCGGTCTTTCGTGCCTGCACATGTGTAAAATAACACGCATTGACGTCGAAGAGGAGTGTTAGTGGTGGAGTCCAGTGTGGAACGCGGAGGAGGAAAAGATAGGACGCGCATCTCGCAAGAGGACGAAGGAAAAGGGGGTCGAAGAAATTGCATCTTTCAACGATGACTCCGTTGGACGTCATTCGTTTCCTCGCTCGCTCGTTCGCGCGAATCTGTCGCAAATGCGTGCGCGTTACGTACGCAAATACACGCCGCGAGAACGTGAGAAATACACGAATAAGGCGACGCTCATATTGCGAGACCCACTTGCATCCAGACGCAGAAAACAAAATTATCGAAAACAAAAAGGGATAATGCTTCCGATTCCAACATTTCCGGATCAAACAAAAAATACTAAAAATTAAAAATATTTCAAAAATATGGCAGCGTTAAATATTTTGGTCCACTTTTTGCATCTGTTTTTTACAGTTATGATCTCGTTACGAAATAGATAAGCCATAAAAAAAATAATAAAGAATAAAAATGGAAGAACAGAATTGACAATGCGATACTCCAGCAGACGCTCCGTTCATCGTCATATAAGACGATTGAACAAAATAAAAAATATATCTATCGAAAAAAAAGTCATACTTTAGTCAGAAAATCTTGGTATAAGTTACAAAAAAAATATTGAGAAGAAAGAGAGGGAGAGAGACAGAGGGCGAAAGAGAGATGAAGATAGTGGAGCAAAGCTCAGCTTAGCAAGAGCGGCCTAAGCCGTGGCTGCTATATTGTCGCTGGGAAACAAAAATAGCTGCTGTCAGCCCCAGAAGCAAGTCGCGGCGGCGAGGAGGCGAGGAAGCGGCGATGGCCGATGGGCTAAGGTGGCATGGTGCACGGCGACGTGGAAGGTGGGACGGAGAGAAGCGACGATGAAGCATCGAACGAGGGTGGTGTGTGAGACCTGGAATGAAGAACCCGGCCGAACAGACTTACTGTGCCTTACGTAACTCTTCTTCATCTTCTTCTTCTTTGAGACGAGCTTTCAAGCCAGCCTCGCTCTTCGTCTCGCGCTGCGCGTTACAAAGTCATACGAGAGATATGGAAGACCTGACACAATAAAAATACATATAATCGACGGAAAGCATGATGACGCACAATGCAAATAAGCGTCAAGAATAAGATTCTCGAAGGAAATAAATAAAGATGTTTGTAAAACGATATATCTATTGGTTTGCAAACGTTGGACAGCCGAAGCGCGAAAATCTTGCGATCGATTCTCGGCTGAATCAAGGACCTTAAATTAGGAAAATGTAAATATATAGAATCTTATAACAGAATAGCAGTTGATTCTGCAATATTAATTATACATTACTTTTTTCGAAGCAAATTTTTTATAATTTCGAATGTAGACTTAATTGGCAAAATTGACTAATTGATTTCAGTCAAATTAGTTTGGGTATTTTGAGAAAACGATAAAGTATTTCTTAATATTAATAATTGGGTCTTAACAAATAGCAACAATTTTATGTAACGCAGTGCAGTGTAATTGGGCTAATTTACCACGCTACTATGTCATTTTTGAACGTAGACATAATTCATCCACACAGTCGCACTCATTGAGCCGTCACCTCTTGGGGTGGAATTAATTATCGAGGTTTCGAGAATTTCGTCCAAATATCTCCGCTCAAATTAGACCGCGGCGTCGGCTGAATCAGCGAATATACCGCAAATTACACAACATATCTCGTAATTATTATCGCGGCAGGACGCGGGCGACGGATGCCAAAAATGCGTCTCCCTCACTCGGCGCGCCGATAGGCGTCGAAGAAGGAAACGCGTCGACGTCCGGCGTCGCGACGGCCAATTAATAACGTCAATTGGCGATGCGAACGCAAGTTTTACTCTAACAGCCAACTCAATTTCCGGTCAGGTGCATCCTAAAAGAGAGGAAGAGCAGAAGTATGAATTAATGCACACGGTTCCGATGAACTTGCACTTGACGCTTCGAGTGTCCTCGACCGATCGCATTCCTCTTCGATTTCTGCGTGTAGAAAAAAGACAGCGGGCGTAGCACATTTTGTTGCAGCAAACTTTCTCAGCAAACAATTTGCAAAATCTGCTGTAAATACTTTTATCTCCTGAAAATAGTTTAAATTCAATTTACAAGCGCTATTTCGCTGCGACGTGATTTTTATTTCGCCAAGCAGCGACGGTTTCGCTTCAACAAAATGTATTAACCAGTAAACTATTTTATTTCAGCTGCGAATTCGTGCCTCTGTGAACAAATTTAGTCGACCTTTAGAGAGTTTTCAACCAGATCTCGCTGTGACGTCAAATAATCGGCAAGTTTATAATCGCTTTTATGAGTTTGTCACGATCGCAAAATTTCTTTTCCGCAGTTGATCACCGCTCGCGTAGGTAGGCGTTCATCGACCATTCTTCACCCGGAGCCGTCGTCGCGTCGGTGCCTCGACGACGTTGCAGCGTTCCTGGCGCGCCAGGGCACGTGGCAGAACAACAGGCACGAAACTTGGCACGAGTCGAAGAGAAATCGCAGGTATAAGGATACTCTATTCACACTCGTATTCGTCAGGACTCTTAATTATTCGCGGAGGGCGTTGCCTTTTGCGGCGCCAATGCCTCCATCGACAATAAATAATTTTGCGAGAGCGTAACGCCGATTTTATTTGCGATAGCGATAAAGCAGCGCGCATTCCTGAGAGAAACTATCTCGAGCCGCGCTTGGCACGATTCAACGAAACGGAGTCGCGAGATGCTTCTGGTCCAGCAACGGTATTCTTGGTTCTTCATAAACACAATTTTGCAGGTCGCCGAGCGAGCGATTAAAGGAGCGTTTTCGGAAAGCCAATTCTGTTTTAGCGAATGTCGACATATATTTTTCAATCATTTTCTCTCAGATTTATTTTGGAAAAATTTAATTTTAATTATTTTTAGAGAAAAATTAATTGGCACTCAGAGGAACTCTTGTTAATTTTCGCGATTTGAACATCGAATCTTGCTTATTCTCGTAATATTTCGAGTAAATGCGAGCCGTCTACGCAGTACAACAGCTTCAAATATTTTCCCAGGTCGTTTCGCTTTACGTTTGTTGAATCGAGCAGCACCTCATCGTAAACTCTCGGACGCTCTCCTTTATTGGTGAGCGAGGCATTCGCTCATGAGCGAGCTAAGATCATCAAACACGAAATAGTGGAAATACACGAAGCACGTAAATTAGTGTGCGCATATATACAGAATGATTCTTAACGCTTGAGAATTAATTGTTTCGATCTGAGACCTTGATCATTTCGGTTTTGGCGAACTTAATTCGCATTTGGAATAATAATATGCGACAATAAAAATACTTGTCGACGCGTCGACAAATAGGTCGACACAGTGCGTAATGCAAGCCAGTCGACGAGACGTAACGCAACACCGTGCGACCATTGTACTTCTTGTCCCGCCGCCAAATTGTTCTCCATTTAATGATTATAAGAATTCCTTTTCCTGGTTGGAAAAATCCTCTCACAAAGTAAAAGATATTTTTTATTAATTCTCGGATTGCAACTTTAGCGTATGAACAACGAACGGTAAAATTTACATAGAACTTTTATTATGAAATAATTATGTAAATTCGAAATTAATCTATAATTTTGCGACTCAAGAAATCTAAAAAAAATTATTTCTAAAAATCTAAAAAATTTTTTAAACTTTAAAATCTCTATAATGCATAAAATTATTCTGTACGCGGCGATGGTATCAGGCTTCAATGCTTCGGATTTATCTCGTCGGATATTTATATCATTATGGAAGCTTTTAATACCTTCTATCTGTAATTGAAAACGATCCAAAAGTAAACGATGCAATAAATAAAGCATCGAGACGTCCCAGATTAACGATGGATTATTTGAAGCTGATTCAATGTACCACATTTAATATTTAATTCATTTACGACAGCTTTATGCGCGCCACTCCCTTTTTACACCAACTTAAGCGATGATGCAATGAACAAATAAATTGCGTACGTGAAATATTGCGTAAGCAATCAATATTTATCGGAATATTCATACTAAGGCACGAAGTAAAATAGAATACAACCTAATTGAAAAATTAAAGTCTAAAAAAATGAGGAGAGAAACTCTGATTATCAAGAAGAATTCGAGAAAAATAATCTGCTTTCGATTTTTCGGATAGAAAATGAAAAGAAATTTTACTGAAACATTTCCATGTGAAATGTCAGTCAACCGGTCCATGGAAAATCATCAAAATATGATTCAGACGGATGATTCGATGAGGAAAGGAATGCGGCTATCCAAAGCTCGGTCGTCTGTTGTTGTTACGTTGCCGCATGTATAATGCGCCAAATTCGCGATCACCTCGACGACGACGATGACGGGTGGACGATGATGATGAGTCAAGCCTCAAGGCTCGGTGAGGCGAGGCGAAGCTCGCTTCGTACGTGTCCGTTCTCTTCTCTCTCGACGTTGGCCCGGTTTATCTCCGTCGATCCCGAAATAATCTTAGATTCGGTCTCTTCTGCTTCTCTCTCTTTGCCCAGCGTGTGCGTGGACGCGCGTTTCGAACCTCCTTCTGCTCCTCCGCCGTTCACCTCGCGCATACCTACCGACTTTTGACTATAGATGTGCGCGCTGCTAGAAGAGGCACGCTTGGGTCCGCGGCCAATATCGTCCGACATCATCTGGATCGCTCATACTAGAGTAAAGTGGAGCGAAACGTTGAAAAATCACAAGTGAAGAAGAATGCGGAGAGTAGAATGAAAATTTATTTTGGACACATGTCTATTTGCAAATTCTCCGAAAAATAAGCTACAGACAGAAATTGAAACAAGTCAATTCATTTAGCGATAATATCAATATCACATGAAAAATATCACGTAAGATAAAAAATTGCCAGAAAAAAATACGAAGAGAAATCAAGAAATTTATTACAAAAAAGATATCGAATATCTATAATTGAATATTAATATTTATAATGTTATTGTAAAGATAGTTGTAAAAATATTCCGTGCCTTTGGGATGTTATATAATTCTCAAGTCACGGCTCACTTCCGTATTTCAGTTTTCCACTTCAGATTATTAGATCTATCACTTTGTCTAGCGACATTAGCTTGGACTCTGAAAAAAAAAATATATCGCTAATTTAACGGGCGGCCATCGTCCGTTCGAAAAGCGCTGAGACCGTGCCAAACATGAGCGAGAAAATTCATCGATAAATCGCACCTCACGCGCCCGCAAATTGCTGTTCATGAAATGATTTAAATCTCGGCCACGCGATACTCTAAATATGTTTATCAGCCAAGCGTGAACGCCGCTATTTTTCAACATTTCCGATTGAGTCCCGATTTCACGGCTCGTTTAAAAGAAAATTAATGAAAATTTGAGGATGAGAACCGTATTTCATTAAAGCAGATAAAGTAAAAAAGTATACGATTCTTATACAGATTGCTACGAAAATCGTTTTGGAGACAAATTTGTAGACAATTAAGTATTAGGAACATATATATTATAATTAATAATAGAATCAATGAGAAATAATTCGGAATAAAAGAAAATAACATGTGAAAGTCAGACATTTTTATAACGAATAAATGGGATCAAGTCTCTGCCAAAAAATGCGTACATCCGGCTGGAAACTCAAGTTTTCCCACGTCCTAGGCTCATCCGCTGCCGGAACCTTTGGTCCTACCACGTTTTTGGTTCATCCGCGCACTTCTTTTACTCGAAATAGAAACTCGCGAATACGTATGCTATTTTTTACTCGCTAATTTTACGCATCGAGATGTGACAGGGGAATCAAAAGGGGGAGGAGGGTGGTTAAGGTTTTAAATGATTCAGAGGCTTCGCTCCTTTCGTCTAGCCTCACCTAGCGCACACGTTTGGCATGCTGACCGGCTGCCCGATCGTAACTATCATGGTTCTTCTGGCACACCGACATCGGTCACCCACGCTGATGGAATAAGCGAGTCCTAATGACGCGCGATCGCTCGTAATAATTTTACGTAATAATCGAGAAATGGATAAGCGCCACATGAATGAAAACTCGCCGACTTTTTGCACAAATGAGTATAAAAGGAAATATTTAATATTAATAAACTAGACATACATTTATATTAGTTATATAAATATAATTAACTGTAAAATATATGCTGACTTCATTATTTTCTTTTTTTTCAATTAAAAATTTGATGTGGAAAAACGCTAGGATGTCTGAACAAAACAAAATTCAGTCTTCCAAAGAATAAATTAATTTTTACAAATATGTATTTATTGCTGTACAGTCTTCTAATCTGAGCTATAAAGTTATTGTTGCGAAAATTTTTTAAGTCAAACAATTTTTTTATAATTTTGACAGTTTTGGTTTTATGACATTTTTTTTATATCAAACAATTAGATAATTTTATATTCCACAAGATATTTTACTAACTTTTGTCAAGTTTATGAAAAGTTGACGAAAGAGACGAGTTTTTTAATCGATTTTATAATATCGGTACGATACATTGACCGAAGAATCATCGTTTTCCACTTGCCTCTTCCTGTCATTAGCGAGAACTGGAAGAGATCCAATTTCCGCACGAGAAAACTGCACTGCTATGCGCCACGTTGCACTGAACCGTTGCATCTTGTGACGAGAGAAATCTGCTTCTAATTCGCGTTAGAATATTGAGATATTATGTCAGAATTATGTTGGATAGTTTGGAAAACTATGACTTTATCGCTTAAATAATTTTAGATTCAAATAAATTGGGCATATAAAAATTGAAACATCTAAAAATGTGTTATAACAATATTTTAAAACTAATTAGATAAGAAATAATTATTTATTTTACATTTTTTAATCTCATATCATTTTTACGAACGTTACAATAATTTCTTTTCGTCATTTATAATGTTGTCAAAAAAATTTTACTTACGTCTAAATCTGTGCGTTTTTCGACCGGCGTCTATTTTGATACATTTGAGTGCAGCGACGGAGCGTACTGTGTTGATCGGAACGATGATGCCATAGAATTCGTTTTACGTTAGCGTAAATATTATTTCTGCGGCAATTTTCAGCGGAAACGTCAAGGCCCGCCGTCGTCTGGCCATAGTGCGTCCGTGACCACTGCGCTCGTTTACGCGCTGGAACGCGTTTGGAAACTCTTTTAGATGAGAGAAACCGTTTGATCCGTCGATCGCGTATAAATAAAAACGCCACGCGCGCCAAGTTCTCATCCTTAGACATCTCGAAATCTCTCTTGCGGTCTCGCGGATCCTCAGATATCAAGTAAAGAAATATTTTTATCTAGACCGCTATTGTAATAAAAAATTAGTAAAGTAGAAACCAATTTAAAAAATTTTTTCATATACCGATAATCTATAGCTAAACACAATGCATTTTTTGGTGCAAGTTTCAAATAATTAAAAAAAAATTGTGGAGCAAGAAACTGAAAGCAGCATAGATAGAACTGTGAAAAAAAATTGATTGACCAAAAGACAATTGCGGACGCTTGTTTGAAAGTTATTTACGTCGATTTAGCACAAAAATAAGGCAGAGCGAGTAAAATATCCACCCATCAATCATTTCCATTGAACTGTCCGATTGATTTTGACGTAACTGGCGATGGACACGAACGAACCATCGTTCACCGGCGCGTACCTTGAACAACGTTCGCGGCCACGTGCGTCTTCCACGTGGCGTGCTTCTCCTTCCTCTCCACCCTATCTCTACTCTATCTCTCTCTTTTCAGTGACGAGCGTCACGAGCGACGGAGGAGCCGAACGGAGCGAAGAAGAAGCAAGCGCACCCTCCGAAATTCCGCCACCTCTTTCTTCCATTTCGAGGTCCGCGGCGTTCGCCACGGCTGGGGGCAGCCCAGGGTAGCAAACCGAGGGAACCGGCGGCAACGATGGCAGGGGGGAGACGGACGTAAGTATGGTGTCTCGCTCCGACGTCTATTTTTATCTCACTCGGCGGCGTCGCGGCCACCCCTTGTCGCACCGCGTTCTCGGTATCATCGTCCGCCTAAAAAGGTAGATTGGCCGTGGAAGTAACACGATCCGCAATTGGACGGCCGGGCTGACCAATCGTTCGCCACGTTACACCCTAGGATCACGTTGCACGCGCTTATATTGGGAGCCCCCGCTCGTTTCCCCGACAGAACGGCTCTCTAACGTAAGTGCACCACGTCGCGTCGCGACGCCGTCGGCTCCTTTTTTTTTTTTCTTTCTCTTTTCTTTCCTCTCTCGATTGATAGAAAAGAAAATACGGTGAGCAATACCTGCATATTGGATCTGCGTAATAACGGGGTGCGATAAAGCATGCATTATCCATCGGATAATTGCGCTCATTAATAGAGATCGACACACGTGTGCATCGTGAATCCGGTGATAAGAAGCGAAGTTATCGGCGACACTGATGAAACTTGGAGCAAGGATTTCGTGGAACTCGCGGGGAGATTGGATTCTTCTTCGTAAAGGGAATTCTTCACGAAGCTCTTCTTTGAGAGGATCGCGTGTGCGTTCTGTGCCGAATCTGAAAATTCCCGCGAAGGAAGTCACCAGGTGGGCGAGAAAAGTGGTGCCGATAGCCGAGCCTGGTGATTTTCCGAGGGAGTGATTTTCGATTTTCGTCGACCCTTGGTGAAATACTCGTGTGAGAAATCGACGAGATGTGACCAAGGATGTGCCAGAAGGAGTCTTTTATCTGTGTGTGCTTACGATCCTCCAAACGGTGGACGGACATAGTGCTTCTCTTCTCTTTATTTCTTTTTCTTCTTCCATTCCGCTTCCAAACAGAGAATTCCAAGCTTCCGGTGTCAATAAAATTGATTTTTGATTGTGTTTTATGAGATATTTTTTTTTTTTTTTGTAGGAGGTGCAAACATTAGGAATACTGTGCTATCAAGTTTGATGCGATATTTGTTTTCAAAGTCATCATCGTTGATCTTCTCGCTGCAATCAAAATCTGCATTATTTGTGCTGTTGTATTTTCTTTTAGTTTTATTTAATATTTAATATATTTGTTAAATAACTATTTTACGTAATATTTACAGTAAAATATCAATTAAAAAAGCTGATTTACTAGACAAATTACTTTCGCAATCAATATTCACTATTTAATTCAAATGTACGAATAAAAGTTTTATTCTATTTCTTTTTTTTTGTATAATATAATAAAATGATATGATAACATAATAACATTTTTTATTTTAATTTGAAATATTGTTGTATTGTTGCAAGATATAATCCTTTTAAATAATTTTTTCTCTGAATCTTTTGTCGAAAATTTAATTAAATAATTACCATAAAAGTTCAACCATAATCTTTATCAGTGAACAAATTGTAGGGTCAATTTTTCCTCTGCGGATAATTTTTGTTTTGAAACATTACTTTAAATTGCGGATTTTTTCATCCGCAAATTCCTCTAAAATGCTGGAAAAATCGGCAACTTTGAAAATAATTTTTCTTATTCTTTATATTTTCCATTTTGTTATCCTGTGAAATTTCGTCTTTCTTCATCAATATTCTCTACGATGATTCATAATCCTAGTTGATTCGACTTTGTTGTTTAAAGTTGTCTACTTTTCTAATTGATTAACATTTGATAAAATCTCGTTCTAGAAGTCGATAAATTTGCAAATATCTTCTATATGTTTGTTATACGTTTCTCTTCTTTTCCTACGTTTGAAATAAAAGTTCAAAGTTCTTCTAGCGCCATATATATCGCTTTCTTGTCCGATTGCCACCTCGTGTCGCCTGCTCCATTTTGTATTCTTATCTGATTATGCAATCCCATCGCACTCTCAACTGTTCTTTGCGACATGATGCACGCATAATGAAATATCAAGTATCAGTGATATTATAGCAATATATAACTTTATTTGAGGTAAAATGTGTTCGGATAAAACGATTCTTCGTTATCTTTAAAACATTCTTTTATAAGTTATGTGTGTAATGTTAGAAAAAAAGCCGGCGGTCGTCTTCGACGATTCTAAAAGTCATCGGCCTCGCTTTATGAAATTACATAATTAATAATATCAGGCGATGACGAGAGAATGTATCACATCATTTTTAAATGAATAAAGGTGCGAACTATTGTCTAGTTTTTATCAAAACAATACAACAAATAAAATAGAATAAAAATATTTTTAATTTGAGGCATCTTACACAATATATTTTTTAGTCATCGTCTAATATTATTAAATTGGTGCAGAAAAGTTAGAAGTGGACTTAGAAGTAATTTTTATTAATCAATAGACATCTGGAAAAATTATTTACACAAAATGAACTGATGGAAAAGACGTTAGTTATCTGTTTTGCACCAATGCCGATACGAGTAATCGTAGTTTCGTGAAGCGGGCCGTGAGCGAACCGAAAACATGAGATGTTCTAATCGATCGCTTCCCAGGGCCGCTCAGAACGTGCCGCCAGAAGTAGTCCGTCCGCCGCCGAACCAACAACAAACCCCGAAGGCAAACGACAGGAAGAAGAGGAGCAGTCCTCCCCTCCCACCGAAGAAGAAGCGAGACCTCGCAAGGGAACCTGTGAGTGCCACGGCATCAGTTTACCACGAGTAGAGCCCAGAAGAAGTAGCAAAGATGCCAGCAGTGAAGAAGCAGGAGGGAGAGGATCCCGATCCGACCCCGTACCTCTTCGTCTCCCTCGAGCAGAAGAGGATCGACCAGACGAAACCCTATGACGCGAAAAAGGCGTGCTGGGTGCCTGACGAGAAGGAGGGCTACCTCCTTGGCGAGATCAAAGCCACCAAGGGCGATGTCGTCAGCGTCGGCTTGCCCGGCGGCGAGGTATGTATCGCCATGCAAATTGCATCTCCCTTTCTGACCCACTTTATCCCGAGTATCAGATTGCTTAGAGAATAATGGCCGATAGAGTAATATACAATCTTATGAGGGGAAAATTAAAATTCAACATATCGGTCATTCTTCAAACACATAAATCACATGATTCTATACAGTTTTGTTTTTGGGACACCGAATGCAAAAGATTAATAGTAAAATTTTTGTAGTAATACTTTCAAAAGTGATTATATCAGTGTTCACAATTTTTACGAGTGATTACTATAGTTGATCCACTTTTAAAAAGACATGTATATTCTAAAATTTATATTATATTGCTTAACTTTATATACAGTGATATCACTAAATAGAGTCATACTCGGTGAATCAAAACTATTGAAACAATATTTACAATTTTCATACTTCAATATTAATATCTATTTTATAATTTAGATATGCATAATGAAAATACTATCAGTTGAAACATTTATTTCCGTTAACCTGGCTCAAATATTCCACAATTACTCCAAAATTTTAGTCTTATATTTTAAAACATGGTTCATTATTTTTATAATTTTCCATTTTTTTGACAAAAGTTTTCACTGAAAGAATTAATTATTAATTACAATGTAATTGCATATTGCATCAAGAGTATCTTCGGTCTGTCCATACATCTTTCTTTTCTACTGTCTCTTGTAAAATATTGCTTTTCTACTGTATACATTTTTTAGCTAGAAAATTTGTATTTTATCTCTCAAACACGCTCTTTTATCTGTCTATTTGTGCGATAATGAATTTCTTTTACACACGCACAAAATAATTCTTAACGATATAAGAAATATTGTAAAAAAGCCGGTCCGGAATATACAAAAATTGTGCATTTATAGAGATATAAATCTGAAATAACATAAAGGTGATGATTACCGGCGAAATCTTTGCCAAATTACGCTATAACTGTACTTCTACTGTCTCTTTCTTTTTCACTCTCTCGAACTAGACCCCGAAAGTGACGTAACACTTTTCGAGAATGTGATTACGTCGGAAAAGCATTCACGCGAGGTTGCACGCACGAAGCTCAAAGGCGTCAACGCGAAGGCGCGTTCCGATTTCACCGGATAAATCCGTTCGCTCGCGCGATTCTTGGGGGAACGACGGGGCGGCGGGAGGGGTCGTCTGTTTACGGCACAGCGATTTCCATCGATCGCCATGGAAGGATCGAGGCGCGATCCCTCCCTCCGCTTTGGCGATTTTTTAGCCGACTCGACAGACCGACTAAGACAGAGAGAAGGAGGGAGAGATGGAGTTCGCTCGCTTCTATATATATAAAAAGAAGGGGGAGGAACGGGGATCTCGCTAGCGATCTATTTTCGGAGAACAGAAAACCGGCCGCGAGCCGTCGCCGTCGCCGTCGAGCACTTACGACCTTCTGTCACCCGGCCGTTCGAAGGCGTAGGCTTTCTTTTCGGACGGAAATAAAGTTCCTCCCGAGCTTGAGATCTGTCAAAAAGCGCATTACGTAAAGGGTGGTTTTCTGCCACCGCCCTGTTGGCGAAAATAAACGACGAAGACGCGCCGAAGTTTTCTGGCTTGCCTTTATATCCGATTAATCTTGTCAAAACTTTCTAAAATTTGCGAAAGAATTTAGAAAATCAATTTTTAGCTTTTTTTCATTGTAAACTGTCTCAAGTTACTCTCGATGAACCGCGATGAACAGAAATTTTTGACAGCAGATAGAAGACGTGTGGCTGATGCTGATTGAATTACCAGAATTTTTCTCATCACATTTAAATTAATTGGAATACTTTTTGGTGGGCTCTAATTAATTAGAATGTTAAATGATAAATCAAGTAACTTCCAATACTTTCAACATACTTTCAGAATTTTCTTCGAATTTTAGTATCGCGAAACATGGAACAAAGTTTTAAAATTTTTTGTAGTTATCAAATAATTATATTGATTTGCAATATTATTACAAAATTATAAAAAAATGTTTGTCAGGCTTTGTGTGTGTAGCATTCTTTTTTTCTTTTTATAATATATACTATTTTTCAAGAGTTAAAATTTGGAAATGATGTAAAGTTATATAATTCCGTTGCCTGCAGCTCGCCGATGTCTTCTATTTCCGTCTCTCATGTTTTTTTTTTTCCGCTAATGCATTCTGCGCGCGCGTTTGGAAAATAAATAAACCTCAACGCATTACTAGTAGTAACATTTCTCGAATCATATGTTAATTGTGTAAATCTTTTTAATCACATTCATCACATTGTCGATCGCGATCACGCTCGCCTTCGAACATCGTTAGCAACTCGCTGCTCTTTTCCGCGATTTTGATGAAAGCGCGGCCGCTATTTTCACACATCAGGCCCGAATTTCGTTCTCGAACAAACAACCTCAATATCCATGTTCACCGCCGGTTACGTAATGGTTCAGCAAACTCGTGCTTGCATCGCGCGTTACCTCGTTCCGACTGTAAGCTTAAACGCTATTGTTAGCACCGTCGTCGCTAGCGCCTAGCGTAATAATAAGTCGAAACGCCACTTCTCGAAGCGCGGGTCAACGTATTTTTAGAGCATCTGAGAACGGGATCTGAGAGAAAGAAAGACAGGGAGAGAGAAAGGTGTCATGAGAGCTACTGCCAACAGACCTCTTTATGCAATACAAAACGCTGAAAAAAATGTTCCGTCTCTTTCCACTTTTTGTTGGAATTTTTGGCACAGTCCTTATATTAGTTAATCTCTTTCATAACTTTCTTCCTCTGCAAACAATGACTTCAATTTCAATAAAATAAATCCTTCGAAGGCTAAATGAAGTATTATGAGGTTCCTGTGTTGAACATCTGCAAAATATTAATAATTAATATATTGACATTTTCTTGACACTATTATTTCGTCGGTAATTGTAATTTAGTTAATAATTTAGTACACATAATTATAGCGACATAAGTGAGAAGTGAGGAATGCTTCACGTAAATTGATTACATAATTATCAAAATTTTTGAATTTTATTTAATTTAATTGTAAGAGCTGGTAGACTAAAGAGTAAGTATATTTAATATCTTAATTCTACAAGACTTCTATTGTGTGTGTGTAGAGATTTGTAAACGCTGCTACATCTTGATGCATGCATAATTATTGAGTAGATAATTTCACTAAGAGTGCTTAAAAGCTCATAAAGTAATTGTAGATCTGAATACGCGACTTTTATTACAAAAATTACCCAAGAAAATGAAGAAACTTCGGAATAAGCTGTGTATAATTACGAAACATTATATATATATATATATATATATATATATATATATATATATAATTAAAACCCGAAATAATAATCTAATAAATACTTTTCTTCTTATGTACTTTTTTTTATCGAAATCATTCTTAACATTTTCTTAAGTCATAAATTAAGTATTTGTAATTAAATTATTATATCTTACGTAAATGTTAGGACAATCATTAGTAGAAAGCTCTAAAAAGCTCTTCAATTTTATTTCAAAACTATATACTTTGTTTCATTAATATTAGTTTTGATATTTGCTTTTTTATTTCTCATTATTTTTCTAAAAATTTTGCTAAATAAAAATTGACAAGATCAAGATTTTAAATCCTTTTATTTAAGATGGAATAGAATAATAGCTTACGAGCTCCGGAGTATTCTTCATTTTCTTGCGCTTAATCTTGGAAGATCGATAAAATAATTAATCACGCCACGCGGTGCTAAAATGACTTAATTGATATACAACGGAGAGAGAAAAAAAGAAATCGAGAAAAAAATTCCGCAATGCTCGCGCAGACGAAACAGTTCCGCAAGGACCAGCTGTCCCAAGTGAACCCGCCGAAATTCGAGAAATCCGAAGACATGGCCGATTTGACTTACCTGAACGAGGCGTCGGTGTTGCACAATCTGAAGCAGCGTTACTACGCCAAATTGATCTACGTAAGTCGATTACCTTTGATTCTTCATCACTAACCCGTTCTTTCTTTTCTCTCTCGAACGCGATGATAGACCAAGGACTTCAAGAAGGACCAGCTGCAGCAGGTGAACCCGCCCAAGTATGAGAAAGCCGAAGACATGTCTAATTTGACCTACCTCAACGATGCTTCGGTCCTCCACAACTTGAAGCAACGTTACTACGCCCAGCTCATCTACGTAAGGCTCCGTTCGCAACGGAGAGACGCTCGCCCCCCTTTCACTCTCTTCCGCCCCTGAGGGCGAGAAGGGTTTTTTTTTCCTGATTTTGTCTGACCAGAGTGTCTTTCTTCCACTTGCGAATCCACCCATGGCGTTTATCGTTCAGAATTTTCCTGGTGTTACGCAGGATTGACTCGTCGCTCAAAGCGCTAGAACGCGTCTCGCGACGTCCTCCTTCCTTTTACTTCATCTGTAATTCGTCATCCGCGATAAGAAGCTCGCTAGGATGCACGAATTTTTCAGAATGACATCGTGCTAAAGTATGATGACGTGCCACGATTTCTGTTGGATTTTTCAATTTTTTTTATAAATGATTTCTTTCTCGCAAAAACGAGATTTTTTGTCCGTTCAATATCTCATTGAGAAATGCATGATTTTTATTCTTTTTATTTATTATTTCTCTTGTTTTTTTTTTTTGAGTGTAAAGGATGATGTCGTTACAAAGCACCACGACGTGCCACGACGTCACCACGCTTTTTATCGATTTATTTATGGTTTTTATCAATAATCCTTATCCTACAAGAGAACGACGACTGTATTTTTTTTTTTCATAAATTACAGTTGCAATGTTCTATAAATTTTTCTCAATTACAAATTTTCTTGATCGATTTAGTACTTTCTTTTCGCTTCCCTTAAAAAAAAATGTCAGACAAGAAATATGAATTTTTTTTTCATACTTTGCCAATTTTTCTCTTCGTTTCAACGTCGCACAAAATGTGTAAATAGTCCTTTCATGACTGTGTTTATTTCCCTCCTGAATGTTCCGTCTATTGTGTTTAATGGAATGCGCTCCAGGATTCATGTGCTCACAAAATGGAAATCCCAAAAGATGCTCTCGTTTCGAGACGCGAGTTGCATCCGCTACAATGGGAGATGGACTGTTCCTGCATCGGCGTTCAACTTGTTTCTTATTGTATTTTGATTATATGTATGTTTCATCAATGTCGTCGATTTTGTCGAAATATATAGTCTCAAGTTGATGCATTTAATGACTTAAAATTTATTTATTAAAAGAATTGAATTATATTTTATAAACACAATTACATCTCTAATATTATATAATAATTTATCTGTATTTTATATGCACATCTGGACAACGCAATAATCAGATATTATCGATGACATATTTTATTGTACAGAAAATTTCAGCTATCCGAATAAATGTTAAAAATTCTATAAATTTAAGTACGTATTATTATCATATATAATTGAGTAAAAAATCATAGTTTTATAATTGAGAGCATTTTTCGCCGATTTTCGAGAAAATTCGGATAGCTGGACGATTTTTCGTGTATGGCGAACCGCAGTGACCGGTCGAGCCATGGAACGTTGTTTAAAGTCTCGATGTCGATGTCGAACTCTAAACGAGCATCGATTTCTACTTTTGCAGACCTACTCTGGCTTGTTCTGCGTGGCCATTAATCCCTACAAAAGATTCCCCGTGTATACGGGGAGGTGCGCCAAACTGTACCGCGGCAAGAGGCGTAGCGAAGTGCCACCGCACATTTTTGCTATCTCTGACGGAGCCTACGTCAACATGCTTACCAGTGCGTAAAAACAAAAGCATTAATTACAAATATTATTTTAGAAAGCCACACAAGTGCATTTAGTATAAAAAATAGAAATATTTATTTTTCTCTCAGTAACTTTATTAAAGTAAATTAATTTATCTCGAAAGATCAAATAAGTTTGTCATCGTGTGTGGTAAATAATGTTATAATTTGCAAAAATTTGTATTGTTGTACGTCATTTGTAAAATTGTGTGTCTCTTGCTCCACAGACAGCGAGAATCAGTCTATGTTGATCACCGGTGAGTCTGGTGCCGGAAAGACTGAGAACACGAAGAAAGTAATTGCGTATTTCGCCACCGTCGGTGCGTCGACCAAGAAGGAGGAGAAGGAAGCCGACAAGAAGAAGGGCTCCCTGGAGGACCAGGTCGTCCAAACCAATCCCGTACTGGAAGCCTTTGGTAACGCCAAGACCGTCCGTAACGATAACTCCTCACGTTTCGTAAGTATTTCTATTTTAACACTCAATACGATAAAATAGCTATTGCTATATTCGGCCAAGATAAACGACTGCGTGCGAAGCGGTTCAGCTCGGGAAAATTGAAGCGAAATAAGTAGCTGTATCGAGCCGTAGATTTGCCTTAATTAAAAATTTTTTTAAATTATTAAATGATAATTAAATGATATACCTAATTATAATCTTATTAATCTTGAAATGGGGAAATTAACTTATGATTAATTGTTAGCGGATGAAAGAAATTAATCAAGCTTGGTTATTCAATCAGATGGATTAATTGTGTTTTGCGCCTTCTGCCGAATAGGGTAAATTCATCCGTATTCACTTCGGCCCCTCTGGAAAACTGGCTGGTGCCGACATTGAGACCTGTGAGTACTTCACTTATTCTTTGTTCTCTCGACGTGCACATCTAGCAGAAGTCATCCGCGCGGCTTCGAGCCGCGTTTGTTAATTTTGCACAGTTACAAATTGTACAACTGACGCATAGTAGTCACGTCAAGGTGACTACGGAAGACGAGCGCGTTTATTATCGTCACGATAGAAGCGCAGTTGGCTTCGATTCGCATATACACCGTTCCGTTCTTCGATTGCGCTCAGTTATTTTTACGACCGCTGTATTTCGTTTCGTTTGGCTTAAATTTCGCTCGCGTCATTGCGTGACTCGATTCCCTTGCTCAATCTCGCACTATAAACAACAATGTGTGACGCGCAATGTCCTTTTTAACACATAACTGTCCGCGATAAATTTATATATTTCACAAGAAAAAATAATATTATTTAATTATTAGAGTCACGGTCAATTTATTATTAAATCGATCATTCTACAATCATGTAGTTAATTTTTTCATTATTGCCACTTTTTTTTAATTACAATGAAAATTATCTTTTTTTTTAAGGTTTTTATGAAGGATGGAACATACAATTTTGCAGTGTAAATATTTTGTTTCAAATGGATATTTTATAGAATTTTTTCCATTACTTGCTCTAAAAAAAATCGTGACATATTCTGATCTTCTTTGATCTACAGATCTGCTGGAGAAGGCCCGTGTCATCTCCCAACAGACCCTTGAGCGTTCTTACCACATCTTCTACCAGATGATGTCTGGATCAGTCAAGAACCTGAAAGGTAAGGTCATCGATGTTTCACGGGGAAAAAAATGAAGTCCGATATAAAATGGAACTCGCGCGTCGATTTCCATGAATTATATTCTCTTCTCAAGGATATTGTCAAATTGTCGCTGTCTCGAGAAATTACCATTAAATTTATTTATATTGTTAAAAATTATTTTTATTACAGTATTTACCGATGAAAAAGATAAATAATTATTTTTGGAATGAAAAATTGATTTTCTCGAGGCAGCGGTAGTTTCGGAAAGGAGTTTTGCGATCACTCTCGCCGATAACGAGATCAGGATCAGGAAGGTGAGACAGGTGCTGCTGAGCCTGGAAGATAGAAAGCGCTCCCGTAATCGTAAAATCCGGGACTTAGTTATCGTCCGGCGGATCGCGCTTTCCTTCTTGTACATCAACCAAGTTTCTCACTGTCGAATTATCCTCCTTCCATGCAGAAATATGCCTCCTCTCGAACGACGTCCACGATTACTACTTCGTATCTCAGGGCAAGACAACGATCCCGAACGTCGACGACGGCGAAGAGTGTCTGCTGACCGACGTAAGGGCCTGACGATGACGAATATCGCAGGATTCTCTCGTTTATCCTTAGCTCTCGCCTTTGTACATGACACTTTAGACCGTTTGCTGGCCAATCGGTGGTTTTTTTTTTTTAAATTAACTGTATCATTGCCTGGGAGAATTGTAGCGGGCAATTAATAACACCTCTAGAACGGGACATCACGCAGGAGACGTGTCGTCGAAGTCGATTTTCCCGGTTGAAGTTTGCATTAAATTAGTTTTCAATCGATATTAAATTTTATTAACGGTTTTGGATGGAATTTTAATTATTAAAGAAGGTAAATATTTGAAATTTATTTTTTAAACACAAACTTAAAGAAATTTTAATTATAATCTCATATCATTTAAAATGAGCAATCATTATTATGTTTAAAAATTGAGGAAATTTAACGACGACAGCCACACGTCTCTCGTGAAACAGTGTGTTAATACAGTAGAAATTTCCGTTGTGAGAGTTGGGATATCTTGTATATAGTACCATTCTTCTGGCGTAATTCGCAAGAGGAGTAGCGGTATTTTGCAGAGCTATACCGTAAAAATGTACTTGTAAACGTAGCAAATATTTTCAACATCGACTTTGACGAGAAAATCATCTTGAAATCGCTGATTCAAATTTCCGAAAAGCTATACGAAACTTTATTTGTCAAAAAATTCAATACGATATATTTGCACATGAAAATGGTATTACATTAATTATGATATAGTACATTATTGAAAATTATAAAAAATATAAAATTCCAAAGAATGCGAGCGATTCGATGATTCCCTCGTCGAGCTAACTCCTTATGAATACAGGTGGCTTTTTTTATTATTGCCTCTCCGTTTTTCCCTTGTATCTCAACCTTTTTGAAACGCAGTTGAGAGAACCCGTGGACACATAAGGGTTCATACATATAAATAGGACCTCCCTTATGTAGCACGATGGAAAGCCACCAGAAAGCATGGCCAACCATCGTTGGGTTGATCTAACCGCCCGCATGTTTTTCTTTCTTTTTGAATGACCTGGTCACCCTGTAGAGATGTGTCTGCTGTCCAACAACATCCACGACTACTACTTTGTGTCGCAAGGCAAGACGACGATTCCCGGTCTCGATGACGGCGATGAACTTTTGGTTACCGATGTAAGTGCAACGACCTGGACCAGTCAGCATTAATAATCGCGCCGAAATAAAAGAAATTAAATTCTTTTATCTAGATTAGTTTTTTGTAAATCGTTGTTTATTATTTCATATCATCTTTTGGTTTTATTTTCAAAATTTTTAATTTTTTGTGCAGAAAAATTTTTCATATTTTTCTCGAAAAAAAATTATCCCTTTTTGGTTTAATGTTGATTTTTCAAAATTTGATGAATGTCTACTCTTGAAACTCGCTGGTCCGACTCTCTAAGCACTAAGTCCTCTAATTGTCGCCTTTTCAGTGATCATTTCCGGAAAAATATTGTCGCTCGTTAAATACTGCACAGAACGACGATACTTTTTCCGATTATTTTGAACTTTTTGTGCCAGCTTCTACTTGTGTATTCTGTATTTTGCGTTTTAATGTTAATTATGCTACTATTCTCTCTATGTGCTATCTATATCTTTTTTATAGTCTATCTTTTTTCTTCTGTCTTTCTCTCTGCTCTTCTCTATTTCCATTTCAGCTCTCTTCAATGCGCCATACCATTAACCAAACACATTTTTGCAGCACTTGTGTACCGAGACACGGACATCTGTATCATTATAACTTTTTTCTTCTCTCTTTTCTCTCTATCTTTCTCTCTCTTCTTCTTCTCTATCGCTTTGTCATTCTTTCAGCGAATACTCGCCGCCAATAACTTGCCATGTTTTTACTACAAATCGTCGCGAGCACCAACAACTTCAGTCGCTTTTCATTAGTTACATCAAATTATCAGTTCAATTAATCATTGATCAAGTTGCTTTATCATTTTTCGTCAACTTTTGAAATTTAATTTAATTGAGAATTTTTTTTCCAAACACAGAATGTGAATGCCCTTGTAAATTGTAATGGTATCTAGTGAATGAAAAGCGATTCGGCATGTTGACGGTGATCGTGATCGCTCGCTTGTTGAGTACGAAATTCGTATGATGTTTATTGGAGGGATATGAAACGTAAGGTCGAAAAACCGAACCAATACAGACATGACTATGCTGAGCAACCGGATCGGCGACTATTGGTACATTAGCCAGGGTAAGACCAGAATTCCGGGAGTCAACGACGGCGAGGACATGGAAGCGACGGACGTAAGTCCAGCCCCCAGGGTGTCCTCGAGCCTCGGACAAAATTCAGATCCTCTTGGTTTCTCATAAAATTATTTAAATCGTATCATGATTATTCTTCGAGTGACTAAAGCCAAATATGTTAATAATTATATTTTAGTTAATTGGATATATGACAATATTATATATCTAATTAATTTACAGATTCATTTTCAAACACTTTTTTATTCGGGAAAATTAATTAAAAATTTTTTTGTATGTCAAAAAATTGTGTTTTTGGAACTTTTTTTTTAATCATATGACGAGCAAAGCGGTGCTGAGGTTTGGCCGAGGACTCGTCACCCCCTCGCCCCCCGCCTGCGAAAGCTGCCTGCCGCCGCAATCGGGGCGCGGGGAAATTTGGGGGCGCGAGACTTTCTCACGCTGAAGAAACTCTCTTCCGTCAAAACGTACGATTAGGAACCAATCGCCCCCCGTTTACCCGCTCCCCGATACGCTCATCTTAGCCCACTCCGTACACGCCAGGCTAAAACGCGCGCTCGCAAATGCCAGGTTAATCAATCTCTTTGTCTTATATATATTATTATATCGGACATTTCGAATCCTCAAATAAAATCTTTAAGAATATTTCTTTTGAAATAGAGAAAAAAATCGAAAGTGGATAAGATCTGTGAGTCTCGAAAATTGATAGCGCAATTGATCAGAGTTCGGTAGATGACTTCTGCAAATTAAGGCTGGATGGAGCACTGCATCAAGGATCGAAGACGAGATTAAACATCGAGACTGATATCAATTTAAACTACAACGTTGTGTTCTTCGAAATGCTTCGCAGAAAACTGTTTCTTGTCCAACAACATATACGACTATGTCAACGTGTCCCAAGGAAAGATCACGATCCCCAACGTCGACGATGGCGAGGAATGTCAATTGACGGACGTAAGTCCTTAAATATCATTCCGATCGTAAAGGATGCTCCTCCTCATTTTCCGTAAATTCGAAAACCCGTATTTTTTTGGAATATTTGAGTATTTTACATGAACCTATAATATTATCGACGATGTCGATCACGTTAAGAAATTTTGTAGAATACTAATCAATAGATTTTAAAAGAAACAGTATTTGTCGCACACACATCTGTCTTTTCTTTCTTTCTCCATAAAAATCAGTAATAATATGATAATAATTTATTTGTATAGACAGGACGATTGGTTTCTTGAAGATCGACATCGTTTTTTGGCCCAAATGTTGGTTTACAAAAATACAGTGCGAATGATAGTGAGCAATAATATATTTACACAATGACATAAAATTATTATTAAAACTTATTCTATAGCTACTTAATTGCTTTCTCTCAAAAATGTATTTATTTAATTTTATTATTTTAATGTTTCTAGACTTATTTTTATTCTTTTTAAATTTAAAAAAAAAATTATTTTAATAAATTGATTGATTTGATTTTAAATCAATATTAATGAAATATTTTATACATATAAGAATATAATGTTTTTATATAATATAATTTAAAATTAATATTTTTTATTTGTTATATAGAAATTAAGAATTTTTTAAATAATATTAAATTATCTATTACACACATAAGCGGACAAGTGATGTTCGCAATCAGATTATTGCTTCATTATCTCCGCGCAATTACCATGTACATAATAGTTGACACACTTTCGACACTTCCGGTAGTAGTGCCCCTTCTTTGACACCGACACCAGTTTTTTAACCTGGAAATAGTTAAGAAATTTGAAGAGACATTTTTCCCATCCCGATTGAAATTCGATGTGATTCGAACATCACTCCCCAGTAGTTTGCGATCCCGTTGATCCCGATTTACCCGGTAGCTAGTTGTCCCTTCCAGAGTTGAAACTTTGGTAGATTGAAGACGCAGCTTCAAGGAAGCGATCTTTCACCGATCGAGAGCGACCGTCGAATTCCGCAAAGAAGAGCGATTCAAATTGCCCCACGATGGAGTAAGGGGCTTGGAGGCAAGAAATCGTCCAGGCTGACCCTGAAGGGCGATCTTTGTACTGCAAAGAAGACGCTTCGTGACGAGCGTGATCTAGAGATCGAGCTCGCAACTCCGTCGTCTTCTTCACATCTTCTTCTTCTTCTTCCTCTTCTTCTATTTCTGTATGAGTTTTCCTAAGAGAGACTATGTAGACGATGTTGATTCGTGTTGACATTCGGAGGGAAAGGAGCTATCACCATGTAACACGAGCTCTGCTTCCGCTTGTCAGCTCGCTATTGCTCAGAAGAATGCTTTCATTCGGTTTTGTCAATACTATTCGATTTTAATTGTCCGACTGATTTCTCGTTTCTTTTCAAAATTATAAAACAGACGAGAAATCAGTTGCCCTGCAATTGAAACTGAATTTTTGCGATCGCTTTCAATGTTAGTTATTTTACGTTCTAATTGGTTGATTTCAAAGATTATAATTAATAATCAATCAATGTTTGTAAAATTCTGGATTATATATTTTTATCTTTTCAAAAATAAAATTTAATAGGGATTTAAGACTTTGATCGATCGTAAAGAAATTGAACGACATGTGGTAAAACCGTGCTTCGAGCTATATGCCGCGCTAGCTTTTTCTCTCTTTCTCTTTCTCTTTTTCTTCCTCACGCAGCTTTCAACGCACAAAGTCGAACGGTTCAAAATGTAACAATTATATCGAACGTTCGTCGTGCTTGAGAGCGTAATGCTAATTGTATCGTCCTTGTGTGCTTCCACTAACTGTCGCTCAAAAGTTTATATATCGAAATTGATAATTACGTCAGAGAAGTCTAAGAATCATTCTTTTTTTACGATCTTTTTTTCTGGATTTGATTCGCAAAGGATTATAAGTCTCAAAAAATGTGTAAAAAGCACGCCCGCCAAATGTCTTTTGCGAATCGAATTTCGCATTTTGAGACAATCTCTGACGAAAGAAGACAAGACGAAGGATTAACATGGCTCTTTCCGATAACAGCAAGCCTTCGACGTGTTGGGCTTCACCCAGGAGGAAAAGGATAACATCTACAAGATCACCGCGGCCGTCATGCATATGGGTGGCATGAAATTCAAGCAAAGGGGTCGTGAGGAGCAGGCTGAGGCCGATGGTACTGAGGTACGAACTTCGAGTAACGATTAGTGTCCACCGTTGAAAATTGTTCCGCTTATCTTTGAGATGTTTTCGAAAAAATATAAAATTATTCACACATTTTTATATATGTTCGAAAATATATTTTCCTATTGTAAATTTTAAGTTATAGAGTTTACTTCTCGCAAAGTGCCACTGTCGATTTTGTAATAATAATTGTAATAATAATTTATGCTTCACATTTTTCAGGAAGGTGAGCGCGTGGCGAAGTTGCTTGGCTGCGACTGTGCCGATCTTTACAAGAACTTGCTGAAGCCAAGGATCAAGGTCGGTAACGAGTTCGTCACCCAGGGTCGTAACAAGGACCAGGTAGCCTACTCCGTAGGTGCCATGTCGAAGGCGATGTTCGACAGACTGTTCAAGTGGCTGGTGAAAAAATGTAACGAGACCCTGGATACCAAGCAGAAGAGGCAGCACTTTATCGGTGTACTGGATATTGCCGGTTTCGAGATCTTCGACGTAAGTTTCCATCGATTTACACTTCATATAAATATGAACATACACACACACACACACACACACACACACACACACACACCCCGACGTGATCGTTGATGATTTTTGAGTAACATCTTCGCTATTCAAAAATTTTTAATTATTTATATTCTTAGTGTTTTTCATAATAAGTAATACTTTTACAAGAGAAATCTATATAATTATACCAATTTTTGATGCTCACCTTGCAATTTTAAAGAACAAATTAAAAAAAGGAGAAAGTAACAACCTCAATTTCTATTTCAAATTTTGTCAACGTGATCGAAAATAAAATAAATTACATACGAAAAGAAAATGCTGAAGATGCGAAAATTCGCGTCCTCAATTTACACGAATTTCACTTTTTCCTGCGATAAAGTAAAACAGGAAGACTCAATATTGAGTGTCGCGAGAAGCGAATCGAGTTTCGCAAGGTGTTTCGAACTCCTGTCGAACCGGTCGTCGAAATGTCCCTTCAGAGTCCGTAATTATATTTCGATACCTCAATATCTCGCAGTACAACGGCTTCGAGCAGCTCTGCATCAACTTCACCAACGAGAAATTGCAGCAGTTCTTCAACCATCACATGTTCGTGCTCGAGCAAGAGGAGTACAAGAAGGAGGGCATCGTCTGGCAGTTCATTGATTTCGGCATGGACTTGCTAGCTTGTATCGAGTTGATCGAGAAGGTGAACGATCGATCCGCCCTCCTCTTCCGCCCCTCTCGATCTTTGTATGAGATCTATAGACTTTTCTAGGCCCCTTGCTCGTCGCACGCTACTAGTTAGTTTCGATGAATTTCTCCAAGGATGATTTAGATCTTCGTAAACTGTTTTCCCTGGATGTCGGCGTACCTTTAAGATTTTCAAGCCCAATACGAATTTAGAATTAGATCCCCGATCTTGTTACATTCCCGACTTGTATTACCTCGAGTAAACTCGACAATTTTTATTTTTGTAATTTCATCAACAATTTTATGGATGCCATCGCCATGCCTTTTGAGGTTTGTTGTGAATCATCCGTATATTTAGATATTTCGTTCGTCCTCTGACTGAATTTGTACCCTGAATGAACTTGTGAACTTTTATTAGATGCAATGATTCCTTTATTTTGAATAATACTTTCTTAGTTCCTATTATTTATTATATTTATAATTTATTATTATAGAAGACATTTCGAATTGTAATTAATTAAAATCCGTTCTTCATAAGCCAATTTTTCCTCGCAGAATAGAAAACGCATGTTCTCGAAAAATATCCCTATTACCTCGAAATTTTCTGCACGCCTTCTTAGAAAATAGCGGAATTTATTTGATTACGAACCCCAAATTTTCACGATTAGCGATAGGAAAATGAGGTTTTATTTAGAGGCATGCTCTTAGATCCCCCAAAGAACGCTCATTTGCTCTGTCTGGCTCAAAGAGAAGCAGCCCCAGGTAAAGGAATTATTTTCTCTCTCAGCGATGGAAGGGATGTTTGTCGTCATTATCATCATTGAAACAGTGGACTTCACATGTATAAATAATGTGATGTACAGATGATTAACTCCCCATTTTCTGGAACCAAACACGTATGTTTAACTGTCCATTAGCAAACAGGACGGTCAGGATCAAACAGAAACTCTGTTACGATGGTTTCCTTGTTGGTAATAATAGTTGTTGAAAGTAGACTAATATTGTTGGACCCCGTATATTTGACATTCACAACTTTATCATATATATCTGGTTAAATTTAAGATCAGAATTATGAATATTAGCTTAGATTTTTATTTTTAGATCTGTGATCAAACGTTTTAGTACATTATCCGAATCACAGATCTATGTATAAATTGTGCAGAATAATTGAAGATATTTTTGTTTGAACACAAATTAAAACATTTTTTTAGATATTTTTTAATTAAAAAGAATTTGACATTATAAAATTTTAATTAATTTTGGATTTAATTTAAATTTTGATTTATTTGGATCTCGAATTTTTTATTTAGTTTGAATTTTATCTCGAAACTGATAGAGTATGAATAAATATTAACCAATATTCTGGACATAAATTAAGACATTCGAACATTCGCACGATAAGTTTGTACCCAAAACCCGAATGAGTTGACACCAGTTTGTCTCATTGATAAACGGTGCGCTATACCACCGATTTGTATTACAAAGACACTTTGTAAATAAAATCCCACTCTTGTAATAAACCTTCATCAACCCGAAGTTTCGAATCAATCAATAAAATTCAAGTTTCACGGATTCACAAACCAACAGTTTGAATAGAAGAAAGTAGTTAAACAATAAAATACTGATATTACAAAAATGAAAGCTTATGCGTTAATTAAGCATTACTTTTTTTCATTAAAAAATCTTGTTACATTGAGACGAAACTTCGGATAATTTTACATTTCTGGTCGATATAGACGTGTGCACAATACCCTTTAAAAGAAACAGGACGAAAAAGTTCGCAAAAGCGCCAAGAAGGCGCAACAAGGAGATGCAAAGATGCGAAGGAAAAAAAAAAGATATACGCATGCTTATTTCTTGCTCTCGAACAGTTCAACGGCTTCGAGCAGCTCTGTATCAACTTTACCAACGAGAAGTTGCAGCAGTTCTTCAACCACCACATGTTCGTCCTCGAACAAGAGGAATACACGAAGGAGGGCATTGAGTGGGCCTTCATAGATTTTGGCATGGACCTACTCGCATGTATCGATCTGATCGAGAAGGTACAACAAACGACTGATCGATCGATCCTGGCCAACAAAGGCTCGATAGACGAGTTCTGGCCGGAAACAAAAGAGAGAAATATAGCTCAAAGTTGAATAACAAACGACACGACACAAGAATTGAGACAGCTACTAGCACGCGGAAATCCCTGACGATTTATCACGGATCAGAGGAGACCGCCACACTAACGCTTATCTTTTAAAAACTATCAAAGTGATCGTCCACTGTTTTTTTATACAATTGTCAGCCATTTCTATTCACCTGATCCTTCTGCCTCTTTTCTCTCTTTTTTTTTATATCGTTATTAAGTAATTCTGCGGTTTTAGTTACGCATTGTCGTCTCGGAAAGCAAGTGTTTCTTTCGTATATCGTTTTGCCAAATAAGAAAATTAACATCAATTTTATGAAAAGCATATATTATTCTTCACATTTGTTTTTATATAGTGCTATGTGTAAAAATTATAAAATGTCATAAAAATTAAATCACAGGAATTAAATTATAGCAATAATATTCTTAGAAAGTGAAATAAGATCTACACGATTTTTATATGATTTATTTTAAAATATTTACTCAGTTGTACTTTTTTTTTCTTGGAGTCAAACGTTTCAGAATCTTATGATAAATTCAGGTAAATGCCAAACTCAATACACATACGACACAGACATTTATTTATCAGTCACATTTGTCTCACTGATAATTTTATTTTTGTTTTTTCCTCTTCCTTCCTTACTTTTTCTCGCCTTCTATCGCCTTCTATCGCCTTCCTACGTGTCGCACGCCCACGCACGTGCAAATGTAAAAATGGCAGTACAACGGCTTTGAGCAACTCTGCATCAACTTTACCAACGAGAAGTTGCAGCAGTTCTTCAATCACCACATGTTCGTGCTCGAGCAAGAGGAGTATAAGAAGGAGGGCATCGATTGGGTTTTCATTGACTTCGGCATGGACTTGCTAGCTTGTATCGAGCTGATCGAAAAGGTATTGTTAGTTATCGCGAGACGAGATTTGAACGCCTCGATCCGGCACCCTGGGAGATGATCGACTCCACGGCGACGCGATTTCTGGAACTTTGCAAGGAACAGGACCTGAATCGCGAAACATTGATGTTGCTTACCCGTAGATCTTGCCCAGTTTTTCGCGCTTACGTCTGTCGGCTCTGCGACGATGACGAAGACGCCGATCGCAAGTTTGGAAGGTACTTAGTACGGGTACCTAAACCGCTCTTTCCGTATCGCGTTCCTCATTATATCCCTAAAACGGCACTGATATCGTGTCCGTGAAGAATATCCTCTTGAGATCGTTCAATGGATTGAGCGAGAATCATCCTTGTGTCTTCTTCGATGATCCATTGGGTCCGGTTCGCAATCCTGAAAAGACTGGAACGAACCGTAAAACGAAAAAGGAAAAAAAATGTTCGACGACCGAACGAAGTTTGCTATTGACAGATTGTAAGAAGATTATTAGACTTGAGAAAATTGTTCTGTGATAAATATTATACTATGATTATTAACATTGAATTGTTCAAAAACTCAATGATTAAGAAATACACTGCTCGACGTGCATTAATCAGTGAGTTTTTGAATCCTGAAAAAGTCAACTAAAGTTTCGAAATTACTTTGAAACTAAAGTTGCTGAAAAAAATTATCTTGCTCAAGAAATCACTGTTAATTGTTTAAAAAAATAGTATTAATTAATTAGTATTAGTGACTCGGTATAAATAGCCCCCCTCCCGCCCCCGTAAAGGCACATAAAGTGTCAATCCTGAAAATCATAAATCTGATAGTTTACTTAATTAACAAATTGGACTATAATTGGGTAAACTTAACACGACGAATATATCGTCGATGTGCATTACGACACCTTTTTTTATCACAGTGTCGATCACCCCCTCCCCCCCCCCCTGTTAAAAAACAATGAATCGAACGATGAAAGTTACAAGTCGAAATCATCGGTCGAGCATCCCCCTCTCTCTCATCATCAGACAGCACTAATGACAGCTGGTCTTTCCTGTTTCTTTTTTCTCTGTTCTTCGCTTAACCCCCCCGTCCACTCCAACGCACAACTCGGTCGAGCAGTTCAACAGCTTTGAGCAGCTGTGCATCAACTTCACGAACGAGAAATTGCAACAGTTCTTCAACCACCACATGTTCATCCTCGAGCAAGAGGAGTACAAGCGTGAGGGCATTGAATGGACGTTCATTGACTTCGGCATGGACCTCCAGCAGACTATCGATCTGATCGAGAAGGTACCACCCGGCCAGGGCGGGTCGGCAGATCGCAGACCCAGCGGGAGACTCGGGATTTCGAATTCACGCACGCCCGAGACAACTGCGCTGAATGTTTCCTGTCTTGTCTGTCTGCTCGATCGACTACTAACTCTACTTCTTACCGTCACACTTTCACTCAAGCACTATTTTTATCGCCTCTCGTCGCGGCAGTCGAAAAGGTGGAGCAATGGCGATCAAATTAAATTCAATAATCGTTAAATCTTTAAAATACGAAACAAATTTTTATTTAAATTAATGTTGAACGATTTGAGAAGCTTAATTTTTCAACCACCTTCAACTGCGCCGCGAGAGGTTTCAGGATTAGTCGAAGGACCGCCCGACTGGACGCGGACGGTGTACCGCGACCTGTTTTTTCTCTGTTTTCTCTTTTCTATTTCTCTTTCTCTCGCTATCTCTCCCTTCGCCTGTGTGCCTGTGTGCATCGTGGTGCATGAACCCGAACGCAGTACAACGGTTTCGAGCAGCTGTGCATCAACTTCACGAACGAGAAGCTGCAACAGTACTTCAATCACCACATGTTCGTGCTTGAGCAGGAGGAGTATGAACGCGAGGGTATCGCGTGGACCTTCATCGATTTCGGCATGGATTTGGAGCCGACGATCAATCTGATCGAGAAGGTAAAGCGACGGGTTCGCGCAGGACACGGACTCGATCCTGGATCATGCGGCTGTGATCCAGTAACTCAGTAATTCTCGCTTGTCGCAGCTGTTTGTCAATGTTTTGTGCTCCTGCCAATGTTGTATGCCTTTATATTTAATTACGTATGTATTTTCTTCACATCTGCTGTCACAGATTTGACGCGTGAGATTTCAATCATAGATCCTTCATTCTAGAATTTTTTACGCAAAAATTATTATTTCAAGTTTATTTACAATGTTAATGGAAAAAAAATATATTTTATTGTAAAAAATCTAAATTTTTAAATAAAATTTTAGTATTTATGATTAAAAAATCGCGCGGAAAATCTGAGACATATCGCTACAGTAATGTATGGAAGGTTCGATGTGCGTCGGAATAGATTATTACGCTTTCATGATATGGAAATATTAATAAAAATATCAATGAAGCGCAATGGTCGTTGGCGAAGCATCACTTCGATAAATCCATACTGCTGAATTAGAGATAACACAGTACTAAGAGTAGCGTTGGGGTTTTTCTTGTACGTAGTCCGTAAAATTAATAATTAATCGGCAATTAATTCGTATGAATCTTGTCTCACTCTCGACATCAATTAATTGGCAATTGACTTAACTGTCGCAGAAGTAAAATTATATTAATGATGCAGTATCGAGCAAGTAGATAACAAAGTATATCAGCGAAGTATTTAGTATCTGTTTTTCAGTAAAATTTGGGACACTAACGAGATTTGCTACGCAAAGTATTTTGCAGAGACTGCAAATGTTTCGTAGATTAAAAATCTCACTTTTTTTTAAGTATAAAAAAACCGTATTTTACCGTTAAATCTATCACAGTTTAATAGAACAATATTCACGTATAATTAATTCGACGAGAGAACGAAAGTAATTATTCATATTTGCATAACGCTACTCTTGGAAAATACCAGTTTCTCGGAATGTAGCGGATTCTGACGCATCCTTCTGTTTCTTTTTCCGCGACACAGCCTATGGGTATCCTCTCCATTCTTGAAGAAGAGTCTATGTTCCCCAAGGCCACTGACAAGACCTTCGAGGAGAAGCTGAACAACAACCATCTCGGCAAGAGTCCGAACTTCCTGAAGCCCAAGCCGCCTAAACCTGGCCAACAAGCGGCTCACTTTGCCATTGGCCATTATGCTGGCAACGTATGTAATTTTCTTATCGTATTGCATAACAAAAAAATTATTTAACTTTTACGAAAGGATTAAATACTATTTTTCTCGAACAAAAAATCTATTCTACAGTCTAGAAAAAAATATTTTTAAACTCGCCGACGGTAGTGTTGATTTTAATAAAGCTAAAAATGTCTTTGAACTTTAGGTGCCGTACAACATCACCGGCTGGCTTGAGAAGAACAAGGACCCGCTGAACGATACGGTGGTCGACCAATTCAAGAAGTCCACCAACAAACTGCTAATAGAGATCTTCGCCGATCATCCCGGTCAATCCGGTGACGCCGGTGGTGGTGGTGGCGGCGGCGGCAAGGGCGGACGTGGTAAGAAGGGCGGTGGCTTCTCCACTGTGTCGTCCTCTTACAAGGAGCAGTTGAACAACCTGATGACCACCCTGCGTGCCACTCAACCCCACTTCGTCCGTTGCATTATCCCTAATGAGTTGAAGCAACCGGGCGTAATTGATTCCCATCTGGTCATGCATCAGCTCACCTGTAACGGTGTGCTTGAAGGCATCCGTATCTGTCGTAAAGGTTTCCCCAACAGGATGGTGTATCCTGACTTCAAACTACGGTGAGAATCCTCTCCTTAATTTAATTACACAAAATCGAAGAGTCGATAGTTCGAGGAATCTGTCTTTTAAATTTTAATATAATTATATTTTAATATTTAGTCAAGTTAGATATAGCATTTAAAGATTTCTTTATTTCAGAAGTTAAAAATATGGTTTTAGAATCTGAAAGTAGACGTTATTATTCCTCGAGCAATTGAAATAATTTCTTACAAAAGTCTGCTATGTTTTATTTGTTTCTTTCAAATTTACTTAAAATTGTTGAATTATTATTATATTTGAATTATATCAGATTTATTATCTTTTTTAAATATTCTAAACATAGCAGATTTTTTTAATTGCTATAAAATAATTTTATGACTTAAATATCAACTTAATTCTTTTATTTCGTAATAATTATTAGAAACAATAGGTTGCGGAATATTTTAAACAAATAAGAATATAGCTACCTGCGAAAAGTATTCAAAAATATTCTAAAAATATTTTTTTTATGTTTTCTGTGTGATTTAAATTATTTACAACGTCTTAATTTTTTTCGGTTATTTTTTCATTTTTTTCACGGATGAGTTTTAATAAAAAAATTTGCGAAAAGAAATATTATCTTCATAATAGATACAGATAGTAATCGGACTTTTATGTTGTGTACCATGTAGTTACATGATCCTAGCGCCGGCCGCAATGGCGGCCCAAAGCGATCCCAAAGTCGCCGCGGCTAAGTGTTTCGAGCAGATCGCTCTCGATCCGGACAGCTTCAGGATCGGTCACACTAAGGCTAGTTGATGTAGCCCCCGACAGTGATGAATTTAAAAATTCCGTCCCATTGTCTCTACATTTAAATCATTTTTTACATTCCACATTCGAGAAATCGTATATTCCGTCACAAGAATTGTCCTAAGATTTTCGCTTTAAAGTCGTTATATAAAAATATGTCAATATTCAGAATATAACAAGTTATCAAATATTTATAATATTAAATTTGGCTTTACTAATTTTAAAGTGAAATCTCACGAATCTTACAATAATTAGAATCAAAAACCAATATAAGCTTCTTTGATTAAATAACTTGTCTACTATGAATGTCTATATTTTTATTATTATTAATGGCTTTAAACCGACAAGACTTAGCGACGATCCTGGAATCTCACCCTATTAATCACAGTATGTCGCCCCCACATTATCACGTGTATGATATTCGTATGCCGTATTCGTATGCCACCCGATTGATCATTCAGTTTTGCCCGTCCCGTTAATGTTTCGTGAAAACGGATTAGAAATCCAAATTAGGTTTCCGAATTCGCCGTACATTTGGTACCCAATTTAGATTAGAAGATTATCCCCGAAAGACGCATTATTGCACGTGGAATGGGCCCCGATTTTTTAGAAATTGTGATTTAGCGATCAAGGAGAAGCGAGCGCCGATCAGGACAATGAAGATGTAAATCTATCGATATTCGTATTTAGACCCCCTGTATTAATTAGTTCGCACGTTTGCCCCTCCCCCGTATACCTCGGCACCCCTCTAGATACAAGATCCTGGCGCCTGCGGCGTGTGAGAAGGCAAAGGAGCCTAAGGAAGCGGCTGGAGCTATCTTGGAGTCTAGCGGTCTCGACCCTGATATGTATCGTCTTGGACACACCAAGGCATGTTTCCTCCCCCCCTCGTACTCCCTTTATCGTTCGCAACGACGATCTGAAAACGCAGTTTCGATGCGATCGATGATCGAGACTTTCGCCTCGGATCATTTCAAAATTTTTCGATAGTAAAAATAATTCTGGACAATTTGACGAGGCACAGTTTCGATCGCGTAAACATCGTCAATAATTGTTGTAAATAATTGTCCATTGCAATTGATGATGTACTTAATCCTGACGCGCCAATGCCCCTAAGACTGGGCGGTAAACATGAGTATGGCGGATTTTAAAGCGCATTTAGTCCTGCAAAATATTTACAATACTATCTTTTAACGAAAATAATTTTTTCCATTAGGTTTTTTTTACAAATTCTTGACAGCAATGTCACTTGAAAAGACTCGCGCTTTAATTGACGTCTTCACTCGTCCGAGATCGATACCAAGAGGATCTCCCTGATTAAAATATCCTCGAAGGATATCAATCATTGTTTTATTTTTCCTTTTACGCCCCTATTTCAAGCGTATTCTCGATTTTACAACAACGAGAACCATAATGTAATAAGCCTCTAACCTGATGTGGTGTTTTTTTTTCTTTTCTTGTCTGTTTTGTGAATACACAAATACCACAAATATATACCATCATCAAACACACCAAACCGCAAAACACTTGACGACGCGGTCGGCCATGAACGCAGATACAAAATTCTGTGCGCCAATCTCCGACTCAGCCAGAGCCTTGCGAGCCGCAAAAGGCCACCCAGATCATCCTGGAGGCGATCAATCTGGAGAGTGATCAGTACCGCATGGGTCACACCAAGGTATCGGACACCTGCTGTGGTCCACGTCGTGCAGCAGCATCACGACGCTCTAATCACTAATTCAAATTCACCGCAGGCAACACAAACGTAACGAAAACGTCCACAGGTCGCGTCGAGAGACATCGTCTTACGACTCTGGATGACTTTTGGACTTTTGTGTCGACAATTTACTCGCCAACATGACAAAAAACTGAAAGAATAATTTTAAAAATTGAAGAATTTGATAAATTGCATTGAATCTTAAAATATTCAGATCGGCAAAATTATTTAAAGATCAAAATGGAAATAAATTTCGGAGGAAAATTTTTTGACTCTCAGAATACTTTTCATTGATAACAAATTAATATAAATTATGTTCTTTTCTTATAATTAATATATTCTCTTTTCATGTATTTATGTATTTGTAACTTTGAACGATCTTTTGGATGTTGGCTATTAAATGTCGCCGAATGGTATCTATTTAACACTGCGTAGCTTTGGCGATTAACCGTCTTACAGCATCGTTGAAGCATCGTTATTAAATTAACGCGACAAGCATCATCCGTCACGCTAATAAAGGATATCTCTGCCAATTTTCTAGCGTGGTGCAATCCCTCAAGAAGTGTGACGCAACCTCTGTCTATCTCCTATCATCGAATAACGATCCTCTTTCCGAGCTAAAAGCGGCATGGAAGGCCAATTTATGGAAATTAATACGATGTACCGTAATTATCTGCCGAGCAGCATAAGTTAAAAGAAATCAAAAAATTAACTATACTTTTATCTATATATTTATCTGATGTATTAAAGATTTTATAAATTTTATTATTGTGGTGGATAATCGAGGTACATCTTCAAGGCTGCTTACGATAAACAATCTTTTTTAATATTCCACTTTCTCTTTGCTCCCGAAAAAAATAGGTATTCTTCCGTGCCGGAGTCCTGGGTCAGATGGAGGAGCTCCGTGACGAACGTCTCGGCAAAATCGTGTCTTGGATGCAAGCTTACGTCAGAGGTTACATCTCCCGTAAAGATTACAAGAAACTTCAGGAACAACGCTTGGCCCTTGTGGTTGTCCAGAGAAATCTGAGAAAGTACCTTCAACTCCGCACTTGGCCGTGGTGGAAGTTGTGGCAGAAGATCAAGCCTCTTCTCAATGTCACTCGCATCGAGGACGAGATTGCCGTGAGTATTTCTTCGAGATTCTTTCCTCGTAAACAGTTTTTCACATAAAAAAATGATTATTCAGACATTTATTTTAATTAATATTTTCTTTTTTGTTCATATTTTTGCAAATTTCTCTTATAGATGTTAAAGTATTTCTGCTTGATTTTGAACTTTTTATTTAAATATATTAAATTCGTTTATCTTGTTTGAAGAAAAGATAAAAGTTTGAAATTTTAAAGTTACCTTTTTAAATTATAATTTAATTATGACAAAAATTTGATAGTCTTAAGTTTTAAGTTAAACAGCAAGGAAGGTACTCGATCAGCACCTTGGGATTAATTACAGAGAGAACAATAAGAATTTTAGTACATCTTTTCGTTAATTCATAGGTATTTTTTTTATTTTAAATTTTCGTAATCTTTATTATTTTAATTTTATTTTCTGCGCTTTATAATTTTATTTTTGCTTTGATTTAACTTTATAGACATTTCGTATTCCAAGTAAACTTTATAAATTGTAAACTCATTCCAAATTTTATAGTTTTTACTCTGAACTCTTGCATTATGCAACTCTCGTCAAAGGAATCTTAAAGATTGAATGAGATTATGATGTCCGCTGTTTTGAAAAAGAGAAACGGGCGTTGCAAAATTGAAACGTTCATTCCGCGAAAACCGAAAGTTCACGAAAGACTGCGAGAGCTTGGCAAAATAAAGCTTTGACTCGACGGTGATTTACGACCGGGGCTTCGTGCTTAACTGTGCCGAATCCGCTCGTGGAATTTGTTTCTTCTTTTGCCCAGCTCGTAACGGCTTCAGTTTCCAGACGCGCACGTTTATTTATCCGCCGCCTGGTCTTCTCGCTTTCGCAGTTTGACCTCGCGCGAATTCTCGGCCAGCTTTAAATTGAAATTTCCTCGAAATCGAGCTTTTTCTACATATTTTTTCTGCTCTTGTAATACTTTCGTAACTCAGGTTTTATAACACATTTTCTTTTCCTCGACCTCGGAGAATCTTGAAAGAAACCTTGGTCGAAAGAACACCGACGCCTCTAATTTTGTCACCCTTTTCATTCCTCTTCGCCGTCGAATTGTCTATATTTTTGACTTTGTAGCCAAATTAACGAGGATTAGGAGAATTCTGCACGTTTTCTTTCTCTCTTTTTCGTTCGGTTCACTGATATTGCTAGTATCCCAAATTAGAAGCATAATAAAGACAGCCGATGGTGAATCAACGTTCGATCATGTTACCAAAGCGGCTTTTTATTAATAGATCGGCACCTCCAAAAAGGATCATAGATCCATTATTTATCCTTCAGACACTTAGAAGACACGACCACATTTTTTGAATTGCATTTCTTCGGAGTGCTGTTATTTTTTTTTATTTTGTCTAATTTTATCAATATTCGATATCGGTAATTTTTCAAAATTGAATCATTAAATCAAAAACTCATAATTAAACAATTTTAATTTGCAGTAACAATTTCAGTAATTTTACTAGCATATATTATTTGCGATAATAAAATTTCAATCAAATTATATATTTTGAAGAATAGATTTTTCCTAAAAACAGATTTGTGACTATTTTAATGAAATTTAAGTGATCCATATTTATTGAAACGTGTTCTCGCAGACTTAAAAAACTTTCCAATCCGCATCGTCGAACTCTATCCGTGCGCTCGAATATGCTTTGAAATATCTTCGCTCACTTTGGCAGTCTCTTCGCGATCCACTTATCCACTTCGCGGCTTCTGGAGCTGCCAAAACGGGGGTGGTCGCTGGAGAGAAAAGCCGACCCTTCCGGATCGCTTCTAATTCCGTCCAAGACCCCTCCCCCCTCACGCAGTGTAACCCGCCTCCTTTCCCCTGACCCCTGGAATGGTATAGCGATAGTGGATCGGTTATAAATATTTTTACACGCATACAGTGGCGAAGCGCCACTGGAGTGGGGACGCCCACGATCAGGATCGCCGCGGCTCGCTCCGCACTGGCTGCCGGAAACGGGCACGGTAGAGGGACACGGGCACGGGTAGAAAAGTTGGGCTTTGACCGAAGCCGGGACCAGTTGGACCCGCGACCACGCGCCGACCCTTTCGAAACTCCGCGAACCCGCCCGAAAACGAAGAGGGAGAAGCCTCGCCCTCTCGCGTGCACACACTCGCCCACACGTACTCAGGTGCTTCAAAGCCACTTCGAATCGCGGACCCCGGGACGCAAGTAGAGACTCGTCGTATCGCCGAGTCTCGTACGCTTTTTTCCTTTCGTCTCCGAGCGATCCGCGAGTGGTCGAGACCCTCTCGCGACGTCGAGGCTTCGCGCGGCGTTCAATCGATCGATCGATTTCACCGGGGTCTCCTTCTCTCGGCGAAGATTCCCAACCATTCCTGCGAGAAAAAGAGATTGAGAGCAAGTGTATTTGCAAGTGGCTTTTTTTCCGAGAGTGATTAATCATGGGCGACACGGTGCTGATCGAGAACCCGAATCCGCTGGTGAACGGCAAGATCGGAGATGAAATGGCCTCATTGCAGGCGCTGGAGGAGAAAGCCAGGAAGGCGCAGGAGGCCTTCGAGAGGGAAGAAAAGTTGCGCAAGGAACTGGAGGAGTTGAACACCAAGCTCCTCTCCGAGAAGACCAACCTGCTGCGCCAACTGGAGGGTGAGAAGGGCTCGCTCTCTGACTACCAGGAGAAGTCGCTGAAATTGTCCGCGCAAAAGGCCGACCTCGAATCACAGCTCCAGGTAAGAATTTTACTTATTTTACAAATCATCAAATATTTTTAGAAATTTATTTACTAAATATTGCAAATTTGAAACTTTTATTCAAATTTAATATCATCAATTCGCCAACTTGACAAATTCTTCTAAAATTTATTATTACGAAATTTATATTTACGTTAAAAATTTGCGTTTCTCAGTGTAAAAGTTTAATTCACATTCAAGAGCAAATAAAAAATATTCTAGATTAATTCCAAAAATTCCTACTTTTTTAATTTATTCGGAAAAAGCTGCGTCATAAAGATTGTTAAAAATAAAAATAATGTTTTTAATTTCTTGCCATAATTACTATTATATGTAAAATTATGTAATTATGCGATAAAATGTAACATTAGTGCTGGAAGATGTGACAATAGTAAAAGCGATTATAGATATCGCGATATGAAATTATTTTCAAGTTATTACTTTTGAGTGATGCAAGCTATGAGGCAGTCAACTCTGAAGGGCAGAAAGTAATATAATTTAGCGGCGTAATTAGCACAGTGGCGCAAGCCGCGAACGAAAAACATCGAGGGCGTGAAGCCATATAATTAGTATCATCGTACATAGAAGCAAAATTATAATTTGTCGTCCTCGGTTTATTAAACATATTCGGCTGACAAGGCTTCGTAATAAATTAAAATATTAAATAAGAATATTAACACAATAATATGAAGTAAAATAAATGTAGTTCGGCCTAAAGTATAATATTAAGTGGAAACAAATTTATATTACGTTTATTCGTTGCAAGTTGCTCGTGAATTTTGCCGTTTTTCCGCGGACGAATCGGAAGAAATTTTTTGGGAGAATGCGAGAGGTAAAGAGAGATCGCAGTTTAAATCGGGATGCCATTAATTATCAGTAGGGAGTGTTTTCGTGATTTAAATCGGGTCGAATTACGCCGTGGCAAGCGGTTTCGTAAGCGCGCGAGTGCGACAAAGTAGTGGAAGCGCGGAATTAGTCAGACGCGCTATTTTTCTTCGAGCGCAACGTGAACGAGTCATCATCTGGTTACGCGAACGCTACGCTTATATTCGATCATATCGCTGCTAAAATTATAGTACACACTCCACGTGTACGCGTGCATGTTATGCGATTTTATTACATCTTCCATCGATTTAACATCGCCCACGGAAGATGTTTTCCGCAAGCTCCAGCCGCGCGCGTCCTTCCGCGTAATCTCGAACATTTTGATGGCATGTTTCGAGACATCGTTAATAGCGTAACATCTTCTTGGATAGAATGACATGGTTTACAATTTGAGATGGTTGTAAGAAAATTCTGATCGTGAAAACGGTGAATTATAAGATTTTTCTTATAATATAATATTTTAAGACTAAAAAAAAGTTATACAAAAAAATTAGTTAAAAATATTTATGAGCTGAGAAAATTTATCGTTTCACTATTTTTTCACATATTAATATTACTTGGGAATTATATTAAAGTCGCTTGACAATTTCCTTTGCAGTCGCTCTGAATCGTTTCATGGTCGTTTCAAAATCTCTTCGGGACCCTCTCAGAATATAGCGGCATTTGCTTTACGATCACTCGATATTTTCCTCACAGTTATTCTTCTCCGTTATAAATATATCCCGGAGGAAGCTGAAAATTGCCGAAATTCTGGACGATCGCGTAGGCGTAGAAACATGTATGCAGTATTTTTATCCAGTTGCAAGCACACGCATACGCAGACACTGGAGAAAAAGCAAAGGTTATAATTTCTCGACGGCGCAGAAAATAGACGAGTCGTGATCGCGACTAGAATTCCAAATTCTCTTTCTTTCTCACTTGCTCTCCAGCCAGATTCCAGGCTGGCTATTTTTAAGTTGTGCTTCTTAAACATACGCTTAGACCGGCGACTACCCGTCATTGCCTGTCATCGCGACGCTCTTCGATGTTCGTCGCAGCTCGTAACATCCACCGTTCGTCGTTCTTCATCGAGCAACCTGATACCACCTCTCGCTGTATTAAAAAAGAATAAAAAGACGACGAATGAAATTAAAAATAGAAAAGTGAAGTGTTTGAAAGTCGAACAACTGAAAGCTTTATTTATTGCACAAAACTTATTTGTAGTTTACTTCATTTAATTTTTACTTTATTCTTTTTCTAATTTTTGTTTTTTCTCGACTTGTTATTACAACGCTTTGTGGCTTTCCATCTAATCATACCGAATTGTATGAAGCACCGAATTACCGTGACTATTAAAAGCGGCTCTTTCAACGCGCTAATATCGTGATCGCGAGGGGCATTTATTAAAAGCACTCGCATCGAGTTCATCGCGATCGACCTGGCCGATCTCGGAAGAGCGAGAGAGATCCTCTCGCGCGATTAGGGATTACGGCCGCGTTATGTTCGACGTAAACGCCACCATTTACGGTTAGGTGGTGCAGGAAGAAGGAAGAAGGGAAGAAGGGGGTGCGGGAGAGGGAACGGGCAGCAAATTTAGCAGATCCCAGATTCCAGGTTATTAAAAGTGGGCGGTAATAGCGGCCGCGGCTTTAAACGCGCTGGAGAGGAGGCGAGAGAAAACGAAGAAGGTAACAGGTGTACGGTGTATTTATACGCCGTTTTATACCGCGTGCAGGCGTGCGTCATAGTCATGCAGCCGTATCTCCTTCGCTGCTCGCGGCCTCTTCATCATCGTCGATGACGAGACCACCGTCGTCGCCGTCAATTTTTCCGCCTCGTCTACACCTGACCGCGATATGATCCCGACGTGCCGCGCTGAATCACTCTAAGTGACAAGGAAAGTGGTTCTGCTCTCAACATTGATCAGCTTTTCTTTTCTCTTTTTTTTTGGAAATATTTATTTTAACTTTGATAAATATTTATTTGAATTTTTTAAACGAGAGAATTGACATGTGGTCTTGGTCTTCTTCTTAGCATTGTTTTTTTTTTCTATTATTTTTCTCTCCTTTTCTTCTTTCTCTTTGCAAATCTTTTCAATGTATTTTTCTAAAATATTTGTTCTCCAGTAGGAAATTTTAGAAGAAGCTCGCAAGAAATTTTACCGAAATCTCGAATCTTTCTCTCGACAAATATAGATTCCGGTCTCTGAATCCGTGCGGAACGCACGATGAAGAGATAAGCGCGTTGAACGAGGAGATTGATCGCATCGCGTTGGTCGGCTGAGACGTCGTGCCAATATTTTTTGCCCCCGCATTAACTAATATTAGGCGTCGCGTGTGTGTAGGCAGTACCCGTAATTGCGCGTCATTGCCAATTAATCGCGAACTCACGAAGGTAAAGCGATGCGTTTGACGTTCTCGAGGGTCGACTTGGCGCGCGTCAAAGGATACTCCAGCGAAATAAATGTCGTAAACCTGTCATCGACCTAAATACTTCTCCGGCAAACAAGATTCCTCAGATTATGTCACTTCAAGCAAAAGATAATATAATATTTTAAAAACATATTTTCTATGCGTTGAAAATACCCGCCGATACGGCAAGAATATTGATGAAAAGAATAGAAATAATAAATTTTAACAATATTAATAATACAGAACATGTCTATTGAATAAAATGAAAGATATAATAATATTTAAAAAAGTAAAAATAAAATAAAACATTAAACATGAAAGATACAACAACAATATTAAACCGAATAAAACCAAAATAGAATCACGTTGAAGAAAATAAAAAATGCTCCGTTACACTTGAAGAAGTATCGATACTTATTTGGATATTTGCGTGTAGGACCTCACTGACAGATTCAAGGAAGAAGAGGACGCGAGGAACAACCTCTTCCAGAACAAGAAGAAACTCGAACAAGAAGTCTCCGGTCTAAAGAAGGATATCGAAGACCTCGAACTAAACCTGCAAAAATCTGAGCAGGATAAGGCGACAAAGGACCATCAAATCAGAAACTTGAACGACGAGATCGCCCATCAAGACGAGCTCATCAATAAACTCAACAAAGAGAAAAAGAACCAGGGCGAAGTTAATCAAAAGACCGCCGAGGAGCTCCAAGCCGCCGAAGACAAAGTCAACCACCTCAACAAAGTTAAACTCAAGCTCGAGCAGACTCTCGACGAGCTCGAGGACTCTCTCGAACGTGAGAAGAAATCACGGTAAGTGAATTGGACGGCAAATCTCTTTAGAATATCTGAGAAATATCACTACTTATATATAGCTATATTTTTTCTCGAATTCTCTGATTAATTTTTTTACAATAAAAAAATTGAATTAATTATCCAAGCTTTTAAATTACTTTTGTATAACAATGTAACATATTTTCGGAAATAAGATGAGATATCGAGGCGTAGCGATAGCGAGGATAATATGTTAAAATTTTAAATTTACAGTGCTGACGTAGAGAAGGCGAAGAGAAAGGTGGAAGGCGACTTGAAGCTCACACAGGAAGCCGTCGCTGATCTCGAGAGGAACAAGAAGGAACTCGAACAAACCATCCAGCGCAAGGACAAAGAGCTCTCGTCCTTGACTGCCAAGCTTGAGGACGAGCAGTCTCTCGTTGGCAAACTGCAGAAACAGATTAAGGAATTGCAGGCCCGCATCGAAGAACTCGAGGAAGAGGTTTGTGTGACAAAACTAATCAAAAGACAATATATTTCTCAGGCTTCAAAAATTTACAATTTGAAAAGACAATCAAAGAAAAGATACTTTCTTTTACAATTAAAGCTGACTCTTTAATTGTAAAATCATTTTCGTAACGTTGAAAAGAATTTGAAATAATGTGCTGCTTCCTCTTAAAAAGGTTGAGGCAGAACGTGGAGGACGCGCTAAGGCTGAGAAACAGCGCAGCGATCTTGCCCGCGAGCTCGAGGAGCTCGGCGAACGCTTGGAGGAGGCCGGCGGTGCTACTTCTGCTCAGATCGAGCTGAACAAGAAGCGCGAGGCCGAACTCAGCAAGCTCCGCAGAGACCTCGAGGAGGCTAACATTCAACATGAGTCCTCCCTGGCAAGCTTGCGCAAGAAGCACAATGACGCTGTCGCCGAGATGGGCGAGCAGATCGACACCCTCAACAAGCTTAAGCTAGGTAAGTTTATCAATCTAATCTCTTTCTTCCTTTTAAGAAAGAAAAATAATAAAACTTGAAAAATAAGTTTTTCTCTCAAATATTATATTGACAGAAAAATTGAGAAAAAAGGATAGTTGCGGAAGAATAATTTTATATACGGGTTTAAAAATTCTTTGACAAATGAAAACTAATTTAAGGTAATTTCATCGAAAATAAGAAAAATCTATTTTGCAATGCGTCACTAAGATAGATTTAGAAATATCGATGCTTGGCTCCGAATTCCGACTTTTTGCTACCAAAAAATATTAAATTATCATTAAAAAAAAGCAGTGGGATTTTAACGTAATATTTGCGATAGAGCCGAAAAGGGCCGACATGACATCCACGCCGAGCTGAACAATTCGCGCGCTCTTGTGGATCAGATTTCCCGGGAGAAGGTATTTGAAAAAGAAATAGAAAAATGTTCCTCGTGCATCTTGTTCAATTTCCAGATAGAATCTTGGATCCTCTGTGCGTTTTTAATTCCCTAGATCATATGTGGTTATCAGAATAAAAATTCCCGGAGATGATTTGGAAAGATACACCTTGTTGCTCGAATTGTCGTGTTGTGTCATAAATGCTGAATTAAATATGCCGTTGTCTTCTACGTAAAAAAATTAAACAATTTATTATTTTTAATCATATAAAAAAAAAAGAAAAATTCATAAATTAAGTAAATTTATTAAACAAGACGTTACAAAGTCATTATTAATAAATACTTCGCATTCGGATTGAATTAATTAAATCTCAGCTTTAATTCAATTCAATTCTGAATGGAATTGTTTAAAAAATGATAAATAGACATATTTAATTTACAATTTAATTTGGCATCCTGGAATGCAAGTCGAGTGATATCGTCACTCACTCATTATTGTTATTTATGATTCCTTGACTGTTCTTGTACCGATTATCAGGGTTGAGAAGGAGAAAGTACAGTACTACAGCGAGTTGAACGACTTGCGTACTTCCTGCGATCACCTGAGCAACGAGAAGGTAAGAGTCCATTAATAACATCCGGACTAACGCGACTAACAGCTTCCGCTAGGTGCAGAGACGCAGCCGTGACAGTCTGAAACGAATCTGTGGAACCTCCCCCCCTTCCTAGGACCACTCGTGAATCATTTATTCGATGTGTGAGTTAACCATCCCCGCTTGCTCAGCACTGCTTTCATCTCCTATATTTCTGAAGAATTCGAGCTTGCCTTCCGAATATCCTTATTTGTTTATTGTTAAAAAATTAAAGCAAAAAGCTTTCTCATTTAATTTCTTTATTATTAATATATTTTTTAATTTATTTTATTTATAATTTAATTTATTCTAAAAAGTAAACGTTAAAAAACATTGAGAAAGAATTTCGGTGACCTTCGCAAGTTTTAATCATAATCAAGAAGTTATTCCAAGGCTGGCTCGATATAGAAAATTTTGCGATCGATCGCGTGCTAAAATCTATTTTAATAAATCCAGGCCGCGCAAGAAAAGATCGTCAAGCAATTGCAGCACCAATTGAACGAGACTCAAGGCAAGCTCGAGGAAGTGAACCGCACGTTGAACGACTTCGACGCCGCGAAGAAGAAGCTGTCGATTGAGAACAGCGACCTGTTGCGCCAATTGGAAGAGGCCGAGTCGCAGGTGAGCCAGCTGTCGAAGATCAAGATCTCGCTGACCACGCAGCTGGAGGACACGAAGAGGCTCGCGGACGAGGAGTCGCGTGAGCGCGCCACTCTGCTTGGCAAGTTCCGCAACTTGGAGCACGATCTGGACAACATCCGCGAGCAGGTGGAAGAGGAGGCGGAGGGCAAGGCCGATCTGCAGCGTCAACTCAGCAAGGCAAACGCCGAGGCGCAACTGTGGCGCACCAAATACGAGTCGGAGGGCGTCGCCCGGGCTGAGGAGCTTGAGGAGGCGAAGAGGAAGCTGCAGGCCAGGCTCGCCGAGGCCGAGGAGACCATCGAGTCGCTCAACCAGAAGGTCATCGCTCTGGAGAAGACCAAGCAGCGCCTGTCCACCGAAGTGGAGGATCTGCAGATCGAAGTGGACCGCGCCACTGCCATCGCCAATGCCGCCGAAAAGAAGCAGAAGGCCTTCGACAAGATCATCGGCGAATGGAAGCTCAAGGTCGACGACCTCGCCGCCGAACTGGATGCCAGCCAGAAGGAATGCCGCAACTACAGCACCGAGCTCTTCAGGCTCAGAGGTGGGGAGAATTTTGATTTTTTTTTGTTTTGCGCAAGAAAGATTAAAGCTCGAAAATTTAAGAAATTAAGACTTGAAATTGTCGGGTTGTCAAGGCTGAAATTATATAATTTATATATTAATTAAATATTTAAATGATCAATTATATATTGATATTATATATTTATTGTATTGAAAAACTATTAATTATTCTATTATTGTTCGATTAACCAGGTGCATACGAGGAAGGGCAGGAACAACTGGAGGCAGTGCGTCGCGAGAACAAGAACCTCGCCGACGAGGTGAAAGATTTGTTGGACCAGATTGGCGAAGGTGGCCGCAACATTCACGAGATCGAGAAGGCCAGGAAGCGCCTGGAGGCTGAGAAGGACGAGCTCCAGGCCGCTCTGGAGGAAGCCGAAGCCGCTCTCGAACAAGAGGAGAACAAGGTGCTGCGCAGCCAGCTCGAGCTCAGCCAAGTCAGACAGGAGATCGATCGTCGCATTCAAGAGAAGGAAGAGGAATTCGAGAACACCAGGAAGAATCACCAGCGCGCTCTCGATTCCATGCAAGCCTCCCTCGAAGCGGAAGCCAAGGTGAGTGCCATATAATTATTTCTAGAAATCAATTTCAACAAAATTTTGCAAACACTCGATTTAATAAATTTTGATCTCTATCAATTCAGGGCAAAGCTGAGGCGCTGCGCATGAAGAAGAAGTTGGAAGCCGACATCAACGAGTTGGAGATTGCACTGGATCACGCAAACAAGGCGAATGCCGAGGCGCAGAAGAACATCAAACGATACCAGCAACAGCTCAAGGACGTGCAGACCGCTCTCGAAGAGGAACAGAGAGCGCGCGACGAGGCCCGAGAGCTTCTCGGCATCTCAGAACGTCGCGCCAACGCTCTGCAGAACGAGCTCGAGGAAAGCCGCACTCTTCTCGAACAGGCCGACCGCGGTCGCCGCCAGGCCGAACAGGAGCTTGCCGATTGCCACGAGCAGCTGAACGAATTGAGCGCCCAGAACGCTTCCATTTCCGGCGCCAAGAGGAAACTCGAGGCCGAACTGCAAACTCTCCACGTGAGTGTCGATCAGTTTTCACACGTCCAGTAATTTAATATATAGTCTTTCAAAAAGAATATAATTTGAATATTCTGTTTTTTGTTTATTTTAGTCCGATCTGGACGAGTTGTTGAACGAGGCGAAGAATTCAGAAGAGAAGGCGAAGAAGGCAATGGTGGACGCCGCCAGATTGGCGGACGAATTGCGCGCCGAGCAAGATCATGCCCAGACCCAAGAGAAGCTGCGCAAGGCTCTGGAGACGCAGATAAAGGAGCTGCAGGTGCGCTTGGACGAGGCCGAGGCGAACGCTCTGAAGGGCGGCAAGAAGGCCATCCAGAAATTGGAGCAACGCGTACGCGAATTGGAGAACGAGCTCGATGGCGAGCAAAGGAGACACGCCGATGCCCAGAAGAATCTGCGCAAGTCCGAGCGCCGTATCAAGGAGCTGAGCTTCCAGGTAAAGCCTCTTTAAATTTGCGATTAGAAGATTAAGATGTCGATCTATCGAAATTAATACTTATAAATTACAGTAGACTGTAAAATATTACCACGGTTGCGTGAAATATTAAATTTTGAGTTTGTTTTAAATTATTTTATTGCACTTATATTCGTGTTTAACGAAGCCGCGTTTTCCGTTTCGGTTTGCAGGCGGACGAGGACCGTAAGAACCACGAGCGCATGCAGGATCTGGTTGACAAGCTCCAGCAGAAGATCAAGACGTACAAGAGGCAGATTGAGGAGGCGGAGGAGATCGCCGCGCTGAATCTCGCCAAGTTCCGCAAGGCGCAGCAGGAGCTCGAGGAGGCCGAGGAGAGGGCGGACCTCGCCGAGCAGGCCATCACCAAGTTCCGCACTAAGGGACGCGGCGGAAGTGCCGCGCGTGGACTCAGCCCGGTGGTAAGCAGCCGCTTGTATCGTTATCTCAGGACTCGATGACATTTGTATATTTACTTTCTTCTTTTCATTTTTTTGTTGCTGAATATTGTCGACAAGCATTTATCGAGTTTTGATAGATCGCGCGCTCGAAAGATGTACTCGGTACATAGATGGTAAAGTTCAATCGGGAGTTGAAAACGAGAGAGATCGCGGGAAATAGTTGAATTCGCGAAACTGTGAAAAAGATGGTATCTAATCCTTGCGATCTATATATTCCTGTGCAGCCGCAGAAACGTAAGGCGCCCTCCGCGTTGGAATAGACGTACGCACACCGCGCTTGGTCCATGTAAGTCCGTGCACGAGTCGTCAGCGCGTGGGATGTGTGACGATGTCCAGAAAGAGAGAAATAGAGTTAGATAGAGACAGAGAGAAGGAGAGAGTGATCAGAGTTTACGATCAGGAATTTACAAAACGCGAGAGAAACACGCGGCTGAGACTCCCTTCTTGCATACGTCAATGTCTCGTTTGCACCTGTGTGTCCGATAACGCTCTCTCGAGTGGATCCAAGCTTGTTCATCGTCATTAACTCTCGCACCTTGCCCCTTTTTCTTATCTGTAGACACCGTAGATGCTGTTAGAGCAAGTTTGAGATTTAAGAAATAAATTAATTATTTTAAATAATTGCGAGAACGAGAGATTAAATAGATAGAGAAACAAATTTATTAATCTACATCCGTAGACGTTTGAATAATTTCTAAAATCACTTTCTAACATAATGTGAAATTATTAATACCGATTTAATAGTATTTACTGTCAGCGCAACTTCTCGACGCAAAATATCTTTTCGCGTGCAAAACTCTTATTGAGATCATTCTTAAAGATCTTTTGCTTTGCTCAATTTACGCGACGGATATTAATTATATCTGTCGATTCCATTTGTCTGATTTATTTAATTTTCTTTTATCTACGATGCAATGTTCGTTCTGGTGCAAGTAAAGCTTTTTTTCAATTTTTTGAATCTGGAAAGTTATTTTTTAATTTCTTCGCCGATACATCATCAATATAGATTTTTGTACTTAATATCACGCGGGCAATTTGTTATTTGTAGGAATTGCAAGTAAATTTTAATTTTCCATAAAGAGAAAGTTCTAATAATTCAACGTAAATCAATATATCATGAATTTTACGTGTCCGAAATACATTCCTCCCTCTTTTTAAAAGTGTGCAAACATCGTCACGCTGTGCTAATCAAGCAGCAAAATAGAGGTATCACGATCCTATTTACATGTTCGACTGCAAGGGTTAAAAAAGCAAGGAAAATTGGATCACTAGCAGGAACGACACAGAGAACGTGTCACTCGCCCTCCCCCCTCCTTCTAATCTGTATTACTGTTTTTAAATCCGTGAAAAACTCCATATTGACATTTATGAAAATTCGCGTATACTGCCAGATTGATGACATTTCTTTGCAGCGCGTCAAAACTCATTTCTCTTCTTTCAGCCACACCGACCTGCGTTAAGA